CAATCACAGTACGTGAGGACGGGTTGCCTGGGTCGACGTAGATCCCAGGAAAGAACAGATCCGTCCACAGAGCAGGTGGAGAGGAGATCTGGGTGGTGAGCAGAGAAGTTGATATCAGTGATGGCTCTGGTGTGGCCTTGGAGAGAGTGCTCAATGGCGCCATTGGTGGAGTCTTCCCTTTGATTCAAATTCCACACGAGGGCACAATGGTTGGCAGTGGATACAATCCAATAATCTCTTGCTGCGAAAGGGGACCATTGCACATCAGTCACCAACCATGGAAGCCCATAGCTGCGCAGCCTCCGCGGGGGATTGTAAGGCGAGTCTAGGTCGATGATGGCGAGGCCATCAGGAGACGCAAGGGCTATATCGCGCCCTGACGGCGAGATGGTGGCGGACCCAACCAATCCATCAACATGGATCGTGATGTCCGACTCAAAGCTTTCACTGTCATACGCAGATCTGATTACCTTTCCTTTCTTGGAAGGCTCAGCAAACCGATCGAGTGAGGGCATGGTGACGCCCTATGTACTGCTTGTCACATTGAAGGCAGGGGATTTCATCAAATGGAGACAGTAGGATGTTATGAAGACCTGCTCAGAATCATCAAACACAACGAATGGAGCGATTGTGTCGCGACAAGCTTACGGGTTGTGCTGCGGGTAACAAGACCCTTGGGAGAAGAATTGACTTGCTCGTATGTAGTTGGTCCAAACCAGACCAAATCTCATGGAGTTGAGAATGGCATCACCCTCGCTGACTAAGCACCCCTTCCAGCTACCATATCAGCTATCAAATCTATAGCGGCAGTCGCTAACAGTGAAGAAACCCGGCCCTATCAACATCTTTGATACCAAACCCCAAAAATATGTGCAACACCTAATTCATTGAAAGTTTCTGTCGCCTCAAGGCCTCGGAAACTTCTCTTCCCCAAGGATGGCCCTTGGGACATATATGGGCTGATTGGCACCTACCGTACCTGAGGTGCTTTCCTGAGCGGGCCGTGATTTTACCAGTGCGCTGAAGCTTCTCCACGCAAGACACCTAACCCACCCAGAAAGCAACGATGTCATCTTTAAATTTATCCATGCTACAGGGATAACAGTCTCAGCATGAAAAGTAGGCAGAAATTCAGAAATGAAGCCAATGGCTTGAGATCCTGCATCGACAACTGGTAGGCACGATCGCCTGTCACCAGCCGCATGGAACATTGGGAGGCTCCAGAGCCCGAAGCCCTTGGGCACCCATCGAAGAAGAAAAGATTTACTGCCTGCATTGATAATGACGGATGACTTTGATCCTGAGGGATCGCGAGCAATGCAACTTCAGTGAAAATCCGACACTCCCCATTCCTCGGGTGGAATCGTACGGCGTTACGCCATGCCCGGATTGATAGGGAGGGGGAGGATCAATGGACATACGCGAATGCTACCTCAACGATCGCTAAAAAGTCTGCATCCGGAGATGGGGACAGCCCTAGGTTCTGACCCCGGACGCTGAGAGAGGATGAATGGAGCCAAGCACCGGCAGTTAGAAGGGGAGAATGGAAGCAAAAGTCCATTCCGTGGTGACTCTTCCGTTGCCTCTCACCAAGACTTAATGAGTTGCATTGATAAGTCGATCTGACCCGATCTGGTGCCAGGTACGGCACCTGCCGGCCGCCTGGATAACCTTGGAAACGTGGACAACGTGGATAACCGCATCCCCGTCTGCTGCCAGGTCAGGCAGCTCTATTGCAACCGACCTGTATGAACAATGATTCCTGTGATACATACTCGCCTCTCATGCCAGCCTCTTCCCGACCCGACTCGAGCTCAGAGGTGTGCCTGACTACGGCCAGCCACAGCTAGGGCCGTCTATTTTTCGTCACTTCGTATTCCTTAGTATCCAATGCCCTGGCTGACTGACAAGTGAGGGCGATGCAGACCACGGCAACGCCTTGCGCTGGGCTGGGCCCCACAGCTTCGAGACCACTAACAGCTTCGCACCAGCATGCACCACTGTTTCATCCGCCCACTCCATGTCGTGCCCGCCGACTGGGCATGGAGTTCGTCGGTGGCCTGGATCGTGGGCCGGGCAGAGCATCCAAACTATCTGCAGCCTGCCACATTAGGGAATTCGGACATGCCCAGTCACAGACGCCAATTCGAGTCTTGCAACTAGGGTTTGCGCTCTGGCTGCTCACGCTTGGGTCGGCCACTTATGCGACCCATGTTACAGCACAGAGAACATGGTCCAGGTCGAAATCATGGCCGCCCGGGGCCACCACGACTGTGGGTGAGATTGTGCTTGGGGTGGTGGTGCCACCCTTGGGCGGCGATCGCCTGCCATTCGACCATTTGAGAAGTTCAGTTAAAACTGTGCCGCAGCCCTCTTTCGTTCCTTCTCAGCTGAACCTGCCTTTAACTTACTCTCATGCCCAACTTCGATTGAGGGGGGGGACACGGTTTTATCCAGGCGACAAATCGACAACACAACTCCAGCCAACGAAGACCATGGCCAACATGTCCTCATCGGGCCGCGCCTCAGTGAGCAACTCATCCTCACACTCATCAAAACCTTCCTCGAGCTCCTCCAAATCCTTCACGCCTGACTGCATCGCACCTGAGCAGCGGCCCAGATTCATACAGCCTGGCCTCCAGACGCTGTCCTGGCCTGAGGAGAGAGGCTCTGCCTCCATTATCTACGCCACCCGCATCTACGCACCCATCGCCCTCGTCGCTTCTGCTCTCCTCGATACCCGCTCCTACAGCTCATGGAACCGGTACTGCCCCACCATCCAGGTCAACTCCCAACCTCGATCTACTGCGCCGATACCGTCCATCGTCGCCCGGGACCCTTCTGTGGCCGCCATCGCCAACCTACCGAGCACTTTGCGTGATGGCGCCACCTTCACCCCGCATGTGTTGCTGGACGTCGCCTCTGTCCCCGAGACTGCCTCGGCTGCCATGCAGAACTCTAAATACCCCACCTACAACACCAAGGCCTGCCCAGAACTCCAAGTCAGCTGCCTAGACCAGTACCTGCGCCCAGACGGCCGCATCTGCATGAGGATGGCCTGGCGAGCGCGCGGTAAATTAACCAACTTTCTCCTACGCAACGAGCGCGTCCACGAGCTCGTCACCTCACCCGACGACCCCAACATGACAGACTATGTGTGCTGGGAGACGTTTTACGGGGGACTGAACGGTGCCATGCAGAGTGTGTACGGCAAGCAGATGGAACGGGGTTACGGCATGTTTATGGATGGGCTGAAGAGGAATTCCGAGGAGCGGGCGCGAGGCCGGGCCATGGCCGAGGAGGTGATTGAGCAGAAGCGCTCCCATGCCGAGGATGGCCTGGTTCCTCCCCCGATCGTATCGATTTAATGAGTTTTGGTTTGTTTTTCGGTGTTTTGGGGGGAGGGAGGGGGGGAAACGTGGCCACGTGTAAGGCCATTTGGGAGCGCATAGATACAGATACCCAGGTTTACTTTCCTTAAGGATAATTTTCATTTCTTAAAACTTTCTTTATCTTTTATATGCCAGTTCCTCCCCTATCTCTTTTTCTTTTTCTTTTTTTCTTATAAAAAAAATGTAGACCCATTAGGGCTCCTTCTTCCCAACATTGACACCACCAGTCCAGTCCTTTCAAGGGGCAATGCCGCCAATCTCCTGGGGCTTGAAGTACACGGTGAGGATTCCGTCACACTGGACGGACTGGACCACGGTCTTCACGACGCCGTGGGCGGTGCAGGCGTCGTCATAGTACCTCAGGTCCTCCAGGCTGGCGAACTCGGTCTTTGAGACGAGAGTGTACCCCTGGCTGCGCTGGTCCTCCTCGGCGGGGCCGACGACCATGGACAGGATGTACGGCTTGCCATCCTGTACAACACGGAAGGGGAATTCGTTAGCCTTGGTACTTTTTTTCCCTTTCGTTTCTCTTCATCTCATGTGAGGACAAGAATTGGGGGCGGGAAAGAGGGAAGAGGATTGGAGGATGGTGGGGGCCGTGAAGTGCCCAACTGACCTTCTGGTTGTTCTTGGCCAGCGCATTGTACGCCTCCAGCATCCGCTTACGATCCTCCTCCTTGGGCATCTTGAACATGGTGACGCGGTGCACACGGTCGGCCATTGCTGCGGCTGTCTTGCTGTAAGACCTGGCTTGTCGTTGGAGTGTGGAGGTGAGTCTTTGTCGGAGGAGCAGAGGGTTCATGAGGCACCGGGGATTTATGGCCTGTCCTGAGCTTATGAGGGGAAGAACGAGTCGTGCTAAACTGAAAGTGCGGAAATTGGGGGAGCAGGTCAGGGACGGAATTAAAAGGCTCTTGTCGGCTCAGTTGGCGATGTCGGCCACCACGCTTTAACCCCTCCCCCGCAGTTTGGGGCTATGTGGGGAGGCTATAAGACAGACTGGGTGCAAAGCGTGGGGGTCATCAAAGTAGAGGTATTGAGTGCACAGGTAACTATTATTTTTCTTGCTCATATTGCAGCAATGGCTGGTATTGTTCTGGTATTGTCTATACAATATGCAAATGATAAAAAAAGCGTTCAACAATGTCTCCGCCGCCAATGATGACGTAGTTTTTGCACCAATCAGAATCCGGCAGTAAAGTCGTATCATCATCTAACTCAGCTTCTCTAACAAGACAACCACAAATGATGCTTCAATGTTCTGTAAATGTCGATCTGCAGGGCAGCAACACTGTCTCGCAGTGGTGGATGCCGAACCGGAAAAATCTAGAGACAAGTGAATAAGAAAACGGAATAATAACAACAAAAAATGATCATAGTAGAACCATTGATGATGGCATGATATGACGACCATGATGATAAATCATGTAGCAATGCTCCTCCTCGCTCTCTGTTTCGCCGCAATGCAGGAACACCCAGGGGGAAGGCGCCAAACTCTTTATGCATAAAAACACCCAAGACTCCGCTCCCGATGCTGAGAGTAACACCGGCTGACGCCCATAGCCTCACAAGAAGGCACAAATAAAGAAAAATCCCTGACTTCTCCTCTCAAGCTGCCGGGGAATTAGGACTTAGTCCCACAATCCTTCGGACAACAACCTGCATCTTTTCCACCAGCTCCGGGATACGATATGGCTTGACAAGCACATCATCGCACCCGGCCTGCTTGGCCTCCATTATTTGTTCCGGCCGCGCATTTGCTGTGACCGCAATGATAGGAATACGCCCCCCAGATGAACAGAACACTGACCCCTCTTGTTCAAGCTCCCGTATCTGTCTGGTACAGCTGAGTCCGTCAAGAATTGGCATCTCGATGTCCATCAACACGAGGTTGATGGGGATAGGCTGCGCATTGTTGCTACCTGAGAAGGAGCTCCTATTATTTGACCGGCTGCTTCCACTAAGCGCCTTGACTGTCGTCTCACCCTGACCAGGTGCCTTGGCCTTTGCCCCGACCGATTTGCGCAATTTCTCCAGCGCCTCTACACCATGGTTGGCAACATCCACCAAGTAGCCCCTGTCTTGCAGACCACGCCGAGTGATCTGCTGGTTGATGAGGTTGTCCTCCACAACAAGAATACCATCCAGGCGAATGGCGATTCCGAGTTGAACCTTTTTATGGAGTCGATTTTCCTTGAGCGTTGCTCCCTGCTTTCCTCCAGGTTCTAATGTTACCCCAGATCGTTCGGCCTCTAGTCTGTTAACAACTCTGGCCGCCGCCGCAGTGGCTTCAGCTTCTGCCAGCGCCTCCGGAGTCGGAACATAGGCCTCGATGTAAAAGGCAAATGTAGATCCAACTCCTACCTCACTTGACACACCAATTGCCCCATTCTGCAACTCTGTAAGTCTCCTTGATATGAAAAGCCCTAGGCCAGACCCCCCGTACTTAACGTGAGTCTTTGCACTGGCTTGGACGAACTTGTTGAAAAGGGTACCCATCTCCGCGTCCGTTAGACCTTGGCCTGTATCTTTGACCTCGAATAGGAGATACACCGGGTTACCCCGGCCTTTCAAAGCAGGCTGCTCGTAATCATCCGCTTCATTCTGGAAGCGGGGGATGAAATCGGCAATTGTCATATCCCGACCGGGCCGCGATAGGGATCCTTTTACAGAAATTGCCACATTCCGCACCCTGCCAGACTTGGTAAATTTGAGTGCGTTGGTAAGAAGATTGATAAGAATTTGTTTGAGGCGAGAAGGGTCCAGATCCAAGTACTTGTGGTCCAGGTCGGTGTATGATGGGTCCACCACAGACGTCAAAGCAATGTCTACCCTTCGAGCTTCGACATCAAACATCTTGAGTGCGTCAGCAACAATATGGATAGGATCCACCGTGCAAGGCGTGACAGCGAGAAGCTTTGAGTCCAGCTTAGACATAGTCAAGATATCATCGACAATGCGTTTTTGGTGTTGCGCACAGGTCTCAATGGTCTCTGCATTCTCGATACTGTCCTTGATGAGCCTCTTCATTTGGCTGATCCTTTCCAGTTCCTCGCTCTGAGACTGTGATAGGCCCGTGGTGGCGCGTGAAGGCGTCATCGGCTCTGCCACTTCGTCGAGCTCTTCTACCCTGGCAAGAGACGCAACGATGGCATCGGCGCAATGGACAATAGCACTTAACGGGTTCCGCATTTCATGGGACGTCATATCAATGAAGTTCTCTTGCTGGCGCTTTGACTCAATGGCTTCGTCCTTGCGCTTCCTTTCTTGATCCAGCTGCCATTTCTGCAAAGACACGTCGCTGATGCAACCAGTGAAGGATTGGATAATACCATCCGAACTCTTCACAGGCATGAAGGTCGCAAGCACGGAACGAGCAGACGTAATTCCCTGACCAATGGTATTTTCGGCCCTCCAGGTAGTTTTCAGCCTGATGTCGGCAGACTGGGAACGGCCGGATGCTCGCAGCTCATTTAACTTCTGCTGCACAATCGGTAGGTCTTCTTCCACAACGCAAGTTTGCCATGGGTCGAGATCCACCTTGACTAAATCGACTTTGGGCAATCCACTCAGCTCCCAGAAGGAATTATTAGCACTGAGCAACCGCCCATCCAAGCTGATGTCATACATTCCAACAGTAGCAAACTCAGCAAGGCGCTTCAGATTCTGTGCTTCTTGTGCACGCCTCACGGCCTCTTCTGCCGTGTCCTTCTGTTCCGTCACATCGGTCAAGCAGGTCAGCATCCTGATAACTCTACCATCATCAGCACGCTCTGCCTTTGTGGACGCCAGTACGTGACGTCCGACCCTATCATCAATGCCAGCAACAGAGCCAGTTCGGGACCTAGACCCATTGAGCTGAGGTTCGGTCCGGGGGATGCGGAATTCGAATGTCACAGTTTCGACCTTTTCCAGCTCCTCGTATGCCTGCACAATCTTGGACCTGTCTTCTGGAATAACGCACTTTTGCAGTGCCCCTGGAGCAATAGGTCCCCTCGGGTATCCAGTTATTCGATACCAAGCGTCATTGGCAAATGTGACGTTGCCGTGGTTGTCTGTAATCGACATTCCCACTGGGATAAATTCAGCGACAGCCTCAAAGTTTTGCGTCGATTTGTTGGTCTGCTCCGTCTGCCATGCGAGTTTCCGTTGCAGCATGGCGGTATCATGGGTTGCTTGCGCCACTGCGTTTCTACCGCGTCGTGCTTCTTCCTCTAGCAGAACAGTTGATGCAAGGGAGCTTGTCAACTTCTGGTGGAGAAGCGAAATGAACTGCCGGTAATCATTATCGTAAGGTCGCCGAGGATTAAGACCCAAAAAGAGGATGCCCATAATGCTTTCGTCATTAGTTGGTCGAATAGGGCAGATGACAGCATTTTGGCAAGCATCACCAAAACCTCGCCACTCTAATCCATCCAGAAGCCTCTCTGGTAAGGTCCCATCTTTCTTCTGGAGAAGTAAGGCAACTTGGGCTTGAAGCGCCTCACGGAAGCTCGGTGCCAGTCCATCATCCGTGTCCCGAAGATCAAGGATGGGCGGCGCGATAGGATGACCAGCCGGCACCCCGAGGGAACCTGCCAATTTACACGTTCTGGGGCAGTCGTAACGAGACCTCGACGAATCAAGGTCATCATCATCCACGACCGAATAAACGAATGCCAGCGGAACGTCGTATGCTGGACTCCATCGCTCGAGCTCCTCCAACGTCTTGGCCCAATAAGACTGCACATCTCTTGCGGTAACCAGAGCATTACCCAAGTCGATCAACATTTTCATTCTCCTCTCCCAGAGCCGCATTGAAGTTGTCTCGAGCAGAGAATGCTGGATTCCCAGGCATCGACCTTCGATAATAGGGTTGAGGGCCCATTTGACATATGTCTCCTCTTTCAGGTCGTCAGATTTCGGAACAAAGAATCTGGTTTCATCTTCCAGCCTACAGCGTTTGTTAGGGGGGGCGTTCCATACAGGATCCAACTTGTCCTTAATTTCGGGCCAAATCTCCAAGACTGATCGGCCAAGAGCATGCGGATGATCTGTGCCAACGAATTTGGAGAAAGCCTCGTTGTATAACATTAGATATTCTGGCCCCCACAAAATCGAGCTTGGTCTGGAGTCAGAGATGGTTTGGTTAAATGCTTCCTGCAAGCGTACAGGCCAAGAGTTCATAGGACCAAGGGAGTGCCGAGCCCAGTCGACACTCTGGATCACGTCGAGGAAGGGTTCAAGGTCTGATGAGAAATCCGGCAACATAAGCACAGGCTGTGGCTTGTCTCGGAACAGAGGTACCGCAGCAGCACTCTCAAGTTGATGCTTATCCATGGGCGCAAAGTCAACGGCCTGGGTGCTCACCGGCTCGGAATGATGTATCCTCGAAATCCCTTCCATGACCTTCAGTCGCTTCTTTCTTGGGGGCTCAGATGACGGAGGAGCCTCATTCCCACTCATGACAATCCATTGATTTTGTACGACATTCCTTGTCCAGTATACACCAAGATACGAAAGCGAGTGATGCGCATCAAGTTTCAGGTCGCGGGTTTCGGGAGCTGGGCTATTCACCCAATTCCAGAAAGGAGACTGAAGCTCATCTTCTGGGATCGCAAGAATGGCTTGCAGGAGTGTTGAGTTCGAGCCAAGCGCCGGGTTATGATATATGATTCCCTTTGGCTGGTCACCAGATCCCACTGGTGCAGTCGAGCCAGGCTTCTGGTTTGCGACAATGAAGGTCGGTCGAGGATCAGAGTCGAGCAGGCCAACCAGACTGGCATCCTTGAGCGAAGATGCCATTATTATAACGACAGCCGTAATCGACCGGAGAAAAGCGCGGGGAGCCGATCGTAGACAGGGAAAACTCCATGGATCGTCACCAGGTTCGTCGCGTAGGAGCTCAAGGATAGAGTAGAGTCGATCGTGGGAAGGAATGTGTGTGCCGACAACGATGGCGCAGGCCTATCGCGATGATCTGAAGCGAAGCGCTCAACCGCACATGGCCATATCGGCAGCGAGACCGTAGGACAGGCCGATCGTACTCAGCTGGAGCAGGCGAGAAAGGCTAGAAAGCCGCCGACGAAAGATGCGAGTTCAATCATGAACTTGAGCTCCACCTGATCGACGACTTGGTGGATTCAACTGACTAGCCGCAGGGAACAGTACGGCCGTTCACCTGCTGTAAACGTGCCGTTGGAGGACCTGCAATATTAGGTGTGTACCGCTAGCATGGGGGTGGCGGACGTGGCGCCTTATTGAATGCACCTGCCCGGGCATAGGGCGTGATTACAGGCTGTAACCGCCCGGCAAGGGGGCGCCACAGTAATGTACTCTCCTTACCTAGGCGGAATGGTGCTGTAGCCCAACAAACCTGCCATCCAAAAGACATGGAGTGCATGGCGCAAGGTCCTAGAAAAGCAGGCTAACATTATAAAGAAAGCCATGGCAAATAAAGGGATGTCTATAATATATGCTGACTGACCATCTATCACCCTTTTGCTGTCCCTTGACGACGGAACCACAGCAAGCCACTCTATGACACCCGAAAGGTTAAATATCCCCTGACCAGCACTGTCTTCGTCTCGTCCCAGGTTGGACAGGCACGCCATGATGATGCCATTAGGAGACCACAAGTCCGTCTCTTAACTTGAGACGACCAGGCTCATATAGGTCCCCCATGCAATCCCTGCAATCCCACCAACCAGATTCCTTGCTTGCACGGTCTTGATCAAGGTGAAGTTGACCACCGAAACAAACGGCCAGAGCTTCCACGACGCCAGCATGATGGGCCAGAGCTCACCAACTGATGCGTCCCACACGTCCTTGAAATCTACCTTGGAGAAGTCCACAGTGCCTCGGGTCGTCCAGTAGTCAATCGCCTTGAACACGCTGTAGATGTGAGGGGCTCCTGGCATTGCGTCGCGAATTGCTCGGCTGTACAAGGCAAACAGCATGTTGTTGACAACAGCACCCAGAGTCTGGTCCAGAACCAGCTTGATCACAGTATTGCGAACTGATAGCTTGGGCGGAGGAGCAGGCTCATCTGACTTCTTGGGATGAGGTGCAGGTGGGTGAGCCGGGAATGTAGACTCAAGAAACGATTGCCTTGGCCCCTGTCAGCATTGAAGTTCCTGTCCGACCACCCAGTGGATAAGCAATGAGGTCCCTTACCAATAGAAATTTGGAGGCGTGCTGAGAAGGGCAAATAAGATGAACTGGAAGAAGGGTATCCAGTCTATCTTGAACTCAACCTATGCGCAATTCCATTATCAATCTGAGGAGCCCATGACGTATTCGTTCAACCAGAATGATTTCGGAGATTTTTGAGCCGCTTCTTACCTCATTCTTGTATGACTCTATGTATTGTGCCAGTATGTTGGCTACACCGCTCAGCAGAACGGCTTGGAGCGTGGCCTCCCTAACTGGTGAAGGAGCCATAGGTAACCAATTCGGCTGAAAATGCCTTAAAATATCGTTCAAATTACCCAGAATATCTCGGTGGCAGATGCAATTCTGAAGATTGTGGAAAGAGGTGGCCAGAAGATAAGCGCGAAAGGTTAGGACAAGTCGTGGCGGTGGTTAAGTAATGTGCCTACTTCATTAAGGTTAGGCAGTTGTACCCTTGTGGACGAACGGATATCGACCAGTGATAGACAATCAGAGTCCGCCCCAACACGCCAAGCATCACGCATTGCCGGTGCCTCTATCCGTCGCAGGTATACAGTTACAGCAATAATCACTTAGAATAAAAACTCGTAGCATTCATTTCTTTCTCCTTATTTACTCTTCTTTCCTCCCCTACTCTTCGAGATTCATCTACTCTCTTAATTTCGTCTCGTATAATTATCGCTGATAGATGAAATGTGCAACCAAGCTCCCATATATCACCCAACCTGAGCATGCCTTTTTTAACCTTGAGTCTAAGCAGTGCCAACCATGCTTGCGCGCCCTAAATCATTCCCGCCTGGTCCTTGTCGCGTCTCTCTTACATTTCCGCCTCGTCGTAAATCTGTTACAGGTCCGCCTTTCAAGTGCGGGTCAAAACCCACATGAAGAAGAGCTGGACGAAGAAGGAATAAAAGAAGAGGAACTGCGTCCGCTGGTTCCTCTTTGCCCTTGAATCAGTCTGCATGGTTCCTCCAGCGGCATGTGAGTTTTCGGGGAGAAGAACGTATTTCAGGGATCGCATCTTTAGAAGAACTCGTGTTAGTCAAGGAACATGAGAAAAAGTCGAGAATTTGACACGTGTAATATGCAATGTGAGCAAAACTTACCAAGAAGAAGGAGTTTGCCATGAAGGTGTAGATGAAGACGGTCCAGCCAACCCAGCCGCCAGTGCCCTGCCCGGAATTCAAGATCTGTGAAACGGCGATCGTGACGATGATCCCTACAAACTTGTAGCCCGAGTAAGCAATCAAGTCGAATAACTGCGATTGGCTAGAGATGCTGAGAATGTAGCATCCGAGCTTCAGGGCAACTAGTTCAACAACCATCACAATCAAGCCAATCGTACCCGTGTATCCCAAAAGTTCCGGTCGGTACTCGCCCCTCAAGCCTGCGATCAGAGTCGATAGAAGAACGTACGTGACGAGACCCATTACTGTTTGAAATCCAAGTGTCAGTTTCCCGTCTCAACTGATCCAAGCGTAAAGTCAATCAACCTACCTGGAATGTACATGTCGGGGCTGTTGACATCGTCACGGGGGGGCAGATACCACCCATCCTGCCCATTGGCTCCAACCACCTGCTTGCGCAGCCAGCTCTTGTGCCTCCAGGGAAACAGCACCAAGAAGAGCTTGTTGAGGACATACGAGTTCGAAACGTTGAAGTAGTGTTTTAGTGCCGAGACGTTGACATATCGTCCAAGCTGTATTCATCATTAGCGACGTCAAACGTAAGAAACGAGGCCAAATTGCCTCCCAAGCTCGCGAGGAAACCCACATTCTGCTCGACATACTCCTGGCCATGCTTGAAAGCGGTCTGGCCAAACTGCGCCGCCACCTGCGCCGTAGGATCGTTCATGAACTGGCCATAGGCGCCAAAGACGTTTCCGCTGGTACCACCCTGTTGTTGGTATGGATTCCCACTGTATGCTTGTTGCTGAGACTGTGCGGATCCTGGAGGAGGTGGCGGTGATCGTAATTGAGGGACGGTGGAAACGTGCTGTGGTACGGGATGGTGCAAAGGGGGCGATTGCGCAAAGGTGTTTCGCTGCATGATGATGCCGTCGTCAACTTGGTGAAGTACCAAGTTAGAAATTATCTTCTTTAAAAATGACAAAACAAAGAAAACCGTTGGCAAGGCCGGGTTGCGGTTGCGCTGGCAAATTAAGTTGACAGGTTAGGATCAGAAGAGACAGATCTAGAGATGTGGTCGTTCCCTCGTCATCCCGCCTAGTAGCTTCAGCCACAACTGTCGCTGGTCCAGGCTGCTGCCCTTCTCTTGGCGCGCCACATGTCCAGAACGACGAAGTGGGCCGCCAGCGCAGCGTCAATGAGCACGGGGCCGGAACTTGTGAATTACCGGGCGGCTTATCGATAAGATCTGATCGGCCAATCTGGGTTCATGCCGCCGATAAAGTGTGCGCGGAGGCTTGGCGCAGGCGACACTCAGTGGCCACATCGTCCAGATTCATCGCTTTTCCTTTTCTCTTCCGGCAATCCTAATATAAGTAATACAGCGGGGTCGGACATCATGTTGGATAGTTTCGAAATCATTACGACGTCGGGGGTGGTAGTGTGGTCAAGAACCTACGCATCAATTAAGCCCTCCATCGTCGACAACTTTATCGCCGATACCTTCATCGAGGAGAAGAGCGGCAGCACCGCCATCCAGGATTCCCAGTCCGCCTCAGTCAATCCTCCCTACAAAAACGACCAGCACACGTTAAAATGGACAATTGTCAAAGAATTGGGTGTTATATTCGTTGTATGTACATGTCCGCCGATGGCGGCGCTCCGTCTGTGCGCTGCTCAGGTGTCATTAACTTCAAGCCCTCCCTTAGGCTGTGTACCGGTCGCTCCTCCACCTGAGCTGGGTCGATAAGCTCGTCGACAACATCAGAACCATCTTCGTCAGCCTCTACGGCGACCAGCTAAAGAAGCCCCATACTACGATCGTGGAATTCGGCACCAACAAGTTCGACGAATACTTCGACCAGCAGCTCCATGAACTCGACAAGGCCAGCGGCATCGACGCCACCGGAGTCCCCGAGATCCAGCTCAACTCGAGCTCGAATGACGAGCCGCTGAGCGCGCCCAGCTTAACGTACCGCGGTCGCAACATTAACCAAGGCGGCCTGGATGCGACGTTGAACGGGCCGTCGCCCCCGGACACCCCCAGCGCATCGCGCCCCTCTACCCCCAGCAACAACAATCTACTCGTCGCAAAGGCGAGCCCCGCCGCTCGACTCTCCAGACGGGCGAGGAAGAAGAACAATGCGAATACGAATGCGCCCCCGCTCTCGTCTGGAGACGAGGGGCCAGGTGGCCGATCAAAGAAGGCCCCCAAGAAGAAGGGGCGCAAGTGGGATCAGGACGGTATGGCAGATGAGGAGGATGACGTGCAGCTGGACTACTCCGCCCAGGCCAATCCGCTGAGCGACTCTGAGGCCGAGGCGACAGGCCGGTCATCAGCTCTGGAGCATGTGGACTCGTCAACGTGGGGTTCCACGACCAAGGGCAAGTTTGTGCTCAAAGATCTAGGCGATGAAGTCCACGATATCCTGGCATCTGCCGAGGCCTCTCAGGCCGCCAGCTCCAAGAACGGGTCCAAGGGTGGTCTCCTCGGCTCCGGTATCAACGCCGTCAGTGGGTTGTTCCGAAATGTCGTCGGCGGCAAGACCCTCACAAAGGAGGATCTCGACAAGGCTATGAAGGGTATGGAGGAGCACCTGCTCAAGAAGAACGTTGCACGAGAGGCTGCTGTACGTCTATGCGAAGGTGTGGAAAAGGAGCTTCTGGGTGTCAAGACGGGAAGTTTCGAGAGTAAGTTCACTGATCTCATCTGCTGCATTTTCATATCTTGCTAACCACACCCCTGACACAGGTATCAACGCGAGGATCCAGACAGCAATGGAGGCTTCGCTCACAAAGATGCTCACGCCAACTTCCTCGATGGATCTCCTGCGTGAAATCGACGCCGTCACAGCTCCCCCAGTCACCTCCCTCCGCACGCGCCGACCCTACGTCATCTCAATCGTGGGCGTAAACGGCGTCGGCAAGTCCACCAACCTGTCAAAGATCTGCTTCTTCCTACTCCAGAACAAGTACAAGGTCCTCATTGCCGCGGGCGACACATTCCGTTCCGGCGCCGTCGAGCAGCTCGCTGTCCACGTCCGCAACCTGAAGGAACTCGCCGCGCGTGAGGGCGGCGGTGAGGTCGACATTTACCAAAAGGGCTACGGCAAGGATGCCGCTGCCGTCGCCAAAGACGCCGTCGCTCACGCCGCCCAAACGGGCTACGATGTGGTTCTCATCGATACTGCAGGCCGCAGGCACAATGACCAGCGTCTCATGTCTTCGCTTGAGAAATTCGCCAAATTTGCTCAGCCTGATAAGATTCTAATGGTCGGCGAGGTTAGTCTCTCCCTGACCACCCCTCATTTCTCCCCTCTACACCATCTGTAATCTCATATGCTAACTGCTTGTCAACAGGCCCTCGTTGGTACCGACTCTGTCGCTCAAGCTCGAAACTTCAATGCTGCATTTGGGTCCGTTCGAACCTTGGATGGCTTCATTATTTCCAAGTGTGACACGGTGGGCGACATGGTCGGCACCCTGGTTAGTCTTGTCCATGCGACCAACGTTCCTGTTCTCTTTGTCGGGGTTGGCCAGCATTACTCAGATTTACGAAACTTCTCCGTGAAGTGGGCTGTCGAAAAGCTCCTCAGCAGTAGCTAGTTTCCAGACAACATCTTTCTGAACAAATAACGAGACGCTAAGCAGAAAGGCAAGTATAGTCTATTGCCAAACTGGCTCGGTCTACTACTATAATTTATGAAGATAAACATTCACGACGCACAAAACTATGATGTGAACAATTGAAGAGTGGATTAGTATATATGTATGTGTATGTAAAACTGCCGTAACGAGATGTGGCACACTCGCTGGGTTCCCAAAACGAGTGGCCGATAGATGCGTCCATCATCCTCCCCACAACCGCTAATGCTTGACAAAGGAAATTCAAGTTTCTCGCTTCACTGCGAAAAACAAAGGTGTTTGTAAATGACTGTAAGGACTTCAAAAAGAATTGTCAACCTGCGCTGAACACGTACTGCATGGCAGTTATAACAATCTGATAAGCGCTTAAAACCAAAAAGAACAAAACAACAACAATACTGTAGATTACAGTAACAGGCTACAAGATAATTAGGTTTGTAAAAAGAAAAGAAATCAAAGGGGTATCTTCTAGATATCGCAATCTGAATTTGCCAGTACAATGGCATGAAGCCACGCACGGCGATATAAAAATATACCAGCTGAAACATCATTGATGGAAGAAACGAACAAATGAAAAAAATATACAGCCACTCAAGAGTGAACTAAAGAAATGCTGAGAGTTCCGTTTCAGTTGTCTTCAAAGAATTCATCATCGTAATAATCTGCTGGTTGGGCGTCCGAATCGTAATGAGTTGAGCGCATCATGGTTGGTGTCATGGGCTGTTCCTCCTCCTCTTCGGCGGGATGTGGCATCACAACCGCTGAAGAGGACATATCCTCCTCCGCCTGGCGCGACGTTTCAGAAACGTTGCGCGCTCGGCTCGGGTTTCCATGAGACGGATACCGGCGGCCTGTGCTGGAGAACGCTGTCGGCTGTGGCTTCGTCTCCAATACAGGCATCTGGCGAACGTTCGATGCTGGCGGGGTCATCAATCCGTTTGGCTGGCTGTTCCTGGAGACCTGCTGAGCCCTAGACGGGGTCCCGTTCCTGCTACCTGCGCTAAGACCTGGCCGAGCAGTGAAGCCGGCGAAAGAGCTCGTGCTTCCCTTGCGCCAATTACCCCATGCAGCGGCAATTGGTCCAATAGTTTGGGCGACACGGGGAGATGCCGTTATACTCTGCGCAATGCTAGGTAAGCTCAGAGCTGACGCACCGCTCATGGCTCTCTCCCGCTCCTGTTCCTCCATTTGGAGGTTGGCCTTCAGGCGAATGGCTGCGTCCTTCACCCTTTCGTGGTCAAAGTTGTTGCCAGAAAGGGCTGTAATAATATCCTGAAGGTCTCCATGTCTCACAGCCAGAAGCTCACGAAGCCAGCTAATCTCATCATCGCGCTTGGAAATCTTGACTTCTGCTTCAGGGTCGGATTTGGCAACAGTCTGCTCCAGTTCCTCAATACGCTGTTCTCGGGCCTGGAGTTGTTCCTGGAGAACCATAATAGACTCTCGGAGGGCTTGAGGAGAGATCTTCTCAGGTAGATCGCTCCTCTCGGGTTGGGACCTGGACTGTGCCTGAGCGGGGGCCTTTGATTCGGCGGCTGCAGCAGACTTGGCTGCCGCGACTGCAGCTGCGGCGGCTTCCTTGGAAACTTCCAACTTCTCTTCCAGGTGATTAATACGATCCTGTAGGTGGTCGATCTTGGTTGAGGAAAAGCTGAGTCGCTCAAGAAGGTTCTCCTCTGTCTTGGAGCTCTCTTCATCTCTAGCATTGCGTTGCTGCTCATATCGAGCTTCAAGATCTTCCAGCTCGTTCTGGTGTTTCTGCTTGAGCTCATCGATCTCCATGGCTTTAGTCGCCTCGGCGTCTTCGAGAAGCATCTCGTTGCGAGCCTTCACCGTGTCGGCATCCAGTTTGAAGCTATCAAGCTCAGCACGCAACTTGGAGTATTGTTCTTCCAGCTCTTCGCGAACGACGTTGACCTGGTGGTTGGCCGCATCGATCTCGGTCTGCATCGCCATGCGCGTGCGCTTCACCTCGCTCAACCCAGATTCGCGGGCTTCTTCGAACTCCCGTTCCGCTTCAGAGGTGCGTTGCTGCAGTCTGTGGTTCTCGGTGCGGAGTTCGGCAAGAAGCCCCTCGAGACGATTGCATTCGTTTGATGCCCTCATTCCGGCGCGTTCGTTTTCTTGAAGGCGATCCATCTCAAGCTCGAGTCGTTCACGAGTCTTGGCTTCGGCCTGCAGCCTAGCATCAAGGACCTCCTGTCGGGCATGCATGACTTGATCCTTCTTGATATGGCGAGCATTTTCCTCGGCGATCTCACGAGCTGCCTTTCTCATATCATCCTGCAAAGAGTTGAACTTGGATCGCCAGCTGTCACGCAGCCGCTCGTTCTCCTCCAATTGGGTGGAGAGGGTGTGGAGAGTCTTCTGGAGATGCTTGTGCTCCTCTTGGATGTGAGCAAGTTCACCAGCACGGCGATGTGCGAGCTCATCATTACGTTCAGCCTCTGCTCGCCAATGATCATTGTCGAGACGAACATTTCGAAGGTCGGCCTCCAGGACGTTGAGCTTGTTCGTCATCTCACTCTGAGATTGAGTCGAGTTGTTCTGTGCAGCTTCCAGCAGGGCCATCTTCATGGAGCTCTTGGCATTAGCCTGCTCCATTGACTTGATCCTCTGCTCCTTCTCGTCATTGACCTCACGAAGGCGGTCCTCCTCCTCAGAAGCAATACGCAAAAGACGCTGGACTTCTGCCAAGCGATCCTCGGCAGCACGGCGGTTCTGAATCTGTTCCTCGGACTGGTTTTCTTGGTATCTTAATTTCTCTTCCAGGTCGGCAACTCTCTGATCATACACGCTTCTGTTAATGATCTCCACCTCAACGCGGGTCTCAGCAGCCTTCAACTGGCGGTTGAGGTCGGCAGAGACGTCTTCAGCAGCCCTGCGGGCTTCGATTTCCTTGTCCATCTCGTAACGTCCTGCTCGGAGTTCCTGCTCCAGGTGAGCAACCTTAGCCTCAAGTTCAGCGTTCCTATCGAGAGATGACTGATCTGGCTCCACTGTGACAGGCATTTGGCTCTTAACAGCATGTTCAACAATCGCCTTCAAGTGCTCGGCGTCGAAATCAGCCTTCTGGCCAATCTCAAGGTGTCTCTTGATATCAGCAACAGCTTCGAACAACTGCGACTCAGGTTCAGGCTGCTCAGGCACAGATGAAAGTGGCTGCATCCGTTGCTGAGCAGCAATGCCTTCCATAACGGCAGCTCGGATTTGGTCCAACCTTCGATCCCGGCGGGGGCTCAACGACCTTCGGACAGTCGGCTCTTCGTCTTCATCATCAGCGTCGCTTTGCTGTTTCTCAGCTGACATACTACGTAGATCGCGACGAGAGGAGCTAGGGCGCCCTGCCTTCAAGGCAATAGCGTCTTGAATGGAAAACAGCAGATTCTCCAAGGGCTCCAATCTAGAAGCGAGCAGGTTGCCAACAACCTCATTAACACGTCCATCAAAGAATTGGGCGCGGCTATCAAGTTTCTCGTGTTCATCTGCGGAGAACGCGGCTTCCCAGTCACTGACAGCAGGAGTATCGTCAATAACAATCTGTCCACCAGCTTGTTCCAGAGCATCAGGTTGCGGGTCAACAAATGGATCGTCCATTTCTGTAGTTGGGAGAAGAGGCACATCACCCAAAGTGGGCTGGAAGGTAGGTGTTCCAGAGGACTTTGTGTCGAGAACGAAGTGCTCAGAAGGCGGCTCCAATTTCAAGGCAGAGGAGTTATTAACATCGGCAAGCGGTGCCGGCTTGGCTGGGCTTGATTGGAATGAGGCTGTCTCAATCGACTTGTTAACGCCCAACGAAGGATCGTTTTCTAACTGCTCCATGACAGCATCAATGTCCTCGAAAGACAGCTGGCCATGCTCTGTGGTTGGGATGATAGCCTCCTCATGCTCTACCGATTCCAAGGCCTCCTTCTTTTCAACAGTAGGTTCGGGCAGAGACTTCTCAGGCTCCACTACGCTTGCAGCGCTGGCGTAACGTGAGGAAGCCAATCCCTTTGGCTTTGGTGGTGGTGATGCGAATCGCGAAGAGCCCAGTCCCATGCCCTTAGATGAGGCCTTGCGTTTTTGTGGTGAGCTAGCACGTGGCTGCTCAGTATCGCGCTTCGCAACAATGATCTCAACATCACGCTGCTCTGGTGTCTCCGGTCTTGGGGTCTCTTCCTCTTGGCTAAACATTCCTCCAGGCAAGAAGGATGGTGCGGTAGCAGATAGAGATTTGCGGTGTCCGCTTGGTTGGGACGGCTCCTCGTCTCCCAAGGGACGGGCTTCGCTGAAATTCTTCGCATCGAATCTGCTATCGAATTCGAAAGGCGACCACAAATTGCTCTCGACTTCAACGTGAGAAGACTCTGATGGAGCCGCTGTCGTGGCCTTCGTATCGATATTGTCTGACATGATAGCTGAAGACATGGAAGTGTCGGCTGGGAGATGATGCTCCTCCTCTATGCTGGTTCTAGCCTCCTTCGATGGCTCCTGAGCCTCTTCGGTCACGGATGGTGTAAGATCCTTGGGTTGCTCAGCGAAGAGAGGTACATCGTCACCGTCATGCATAGCACTCTTGGCACGCTTTGCCCTGAAGTCATCAGCACGGCGGTCACGATTATCCCTCATGTCCTCGTGGGAGTCCTCGTGTCCCGAGCCCCAATCTCCAGCAACTCCGTCAGATGCTCTGCTACTGGTCGGTCTGATGATGGGGATCGCCTTGGATTTGTTGTCTAGCTTGGCAACCTCAGGTTCAATGTGAATGTTGCCAAAAATGCTCTCTCTAGCAGTATGCTTGTTGCCCAATCCCAGACCGACTGTAGGGGCAGGCGAGAATGGCATGAAGGATGGGGCATCAGGTCTGAACTTAGGTCCAGAAGTGGAGAAGCTGAAATCGCTTTGCTCAGGTGCGAAGCTAGTCTGCTCTTCGACATGAGCTTCGTCTGCGATGTCAAGAGGTGGCAAGGAATCCAGAGATGTTGAGCCAGCAACACTGCCACCAACGTTTGCTTGAAAGATGGCAGGCTGGAAAGACTGCCCTCCAAAGTTGAACTGCCCAGGTGTGAAGGAGCTCTGCCCAGGGTTGAAGGTGCTCTGTCCGGGGATGAAGGTGCTCTGCACGGGAGTGAAGCTGCTTTGTGCGGGAGTGAAGCCAGGCTGTCCGGGGGTGAAGGCACTTTGGCCAGGTGTGAAAGTGCTCTGTCCAGGTGTGAACGTACTCTGTCCCGGTGTAAAGCTATTCGCTGGGTTGAACTTGAATTCAGGGGCCTGTACATTAAGCTTGGACAGTGAAGGCTTGCTGGCATGGCTAGCTCGTCGTGGGTTAGAGGCTGACGACGAATAATCGTTCCAGGGGTTGCTTCCTGTTGACACGTTCCGCTCATGTTGCGCAAAGGGCCCAGCAAAGTCAAAGTCCTGGACTGGCGTGCCAAGATTGCTTGGATTTGTCTCAATCTCCCATCGTTCCTCTCCCTTATGCGTCTCAATAATGTCATGGAGAGGCGCTGATGGTTTGTTAACAGAGTTGGCATTGTCATCAGATTGGTTCTGATCGACGAGGAAATTTTGTGATAGCGAGTGAGACAGTGAATGGCCTCGGCTGTGGGGGCGAGGGTGATGCAGAGTGAGAGGCTTCTCTGGCTGGTTTGCAAAGTGTGCAGGAACTTGGAAGTTATCAGCAGGGTCCTGGGGGAACATCCCATGGTCAGTAGATGCCTGCTGAGAATGAGCATGAGGATCGTAATCTTCGTGCTCCAGCTCATTACGGAGCTGCTCCTCGAGATGATATTCCTCATCACCCAATTCAGCCTTGGGATTATGGTTATCATGCAGAGGCTCAGGGGTCTTTGATGGGCTCTTGAGCTCCTCCTCTTCCTCATAAACCTCTTGTAGACGAGAGAAGTCCCGCATTGGCGGAGGGAATTGGAACGATTGTCGAGACACCAGTGGGAATTGCAGAGACTGCTGCCGTTGATGAAGATTGTTAAGAGCAGGGCTTGCGTTTGGAGGAAGCCCTTCCACATCAAACGGTGGCTGTGCCGGCACCATTCCATTCATGTTAGCAAAGGAAGGAGAATCGCTTCTGCCTAGATTTTGCAAACCTGGCCAAGCGAGCGGAGACTGAGGCATCTGGAAAGGCGAGTTGTTGCCGGAAAACGAGATAGATGCTCGCGGGTTGAACTTTCCAGGGACAAAAGGTACTGGAGAGGCTCCTTGGGGGATAATCGGGCTTTGGGTCGCCGAATTGAACTGACCAGGGAAGGGAAATCCCATTGGAGCATGATTGCTTGAAGCCGATGATGTTGGAAGAGGAGGAGAAAATGGAAGGGGAGGATATTGGGCAGAGGCTTGTCTGCTGGGCACGGCAGATTCGAGCGGCGACGGCGCAGCTGGCTCATCATCACCGAAGGACACACCCAAGGCGCGCAACTTGGCCTCTTGCAATTCATCGACATAATTCTTCCAGGCGTTCAAGTCAGGCAGTGTAACCTGATAGTAGTGCTCCGACCTTTCATGAACCACGTCGTCATGGTCTGGCCAGGCGCCACGGCTCTGTGCATTGTGTGACCCTGTAGGCTGATAATCATCCACCATCAGATCGAAACCGTCCACGCCATAGCCTAGTTCTCTCCACGAAGCAAACATTTTTTCTATTTCTTCCTGGCGAAGGGGCTTGGGTGGCTTTCCAGGATGTCCTCGCTCTTCATCTCGTGGTAGTAAAACCATGATATTCTTGCCCTTCCATGGCACCTTCTTCTTTATACGCGGCGTCATGGCAGGCTCTTTCGGCAATGCCTTTTGTGTGATTTTTGTCGGAGTAGAGAACTTGGCCTCCCCGTTCAGGGCAGGCTTCGTCCTGGTAGGAGTCATAGGAACCGCATCCTCGGATACGGGAGTCTCCGTCGCCGAGCGACCTCCTGGGGAGCCGGGCTGGTTATCCGCAGTTGCCATTTTTATTAGTTGCTTTGGACCTCTCGGAGTATTAGTATCCGCTGGTTTGAGGGTTTCCACACTTGATCGACCGCGCGGGTGGAAAGATCGAACAGGATGCGCCGAGTTTTTCCCCTTTGAAGCCTTCGGTGTCCGGAGATCAGATTCCCCAAGCCAGCCGACTTCTGAGCCGCTCAACGAAGAGTGCTCACTACCACTGCCGTCACTGAACCAATGGCGAGGCTCAACGTTCTCGATGTCGCCAGAGGTGTGCGTACGTATCCAGTCTTCAGTCAGGCCTCTAACCTGACGTCGCACCCGATTCGCAAGGACTGCTGCTGCCGCGCTGATCCCAGGCTGTGACTCCTCGCCCGATAGCGATGCAAGTTCGGGGGGTGGGCGAAGAAAAGGGGTATCGATCGCTAAATTATGAACTGGAAACTCGTCAGAGGCGTCGCTACTGAAGCTTCGCCGGCGTAAATTACGGTCGGTGCGCGGGTATGGTGAGCCCCAGCTTGCCGTCCCAAACTGATTATCCTCGTCTGTGCCAGCAGAAGGTGACCTCAGGAGATTCTGAGTGCGCGGCGGCAGAGGCGGAGCTTGGAGCGGAGGCAGCGCCGGGGAAGACTCAAGACCGTCCGAACCGTCTGCAGTCGATGCGTCGGAGAGGGCTGGCGACCTAGGCGACTGCGGTTGGGTTATGGAGTCCACTGCACTTTCGTCCTGTGCAGAGAAGGCACCTGGGGCTGGAGTTGACGACTTCGGAGGCGACGTCGTCACGAGAGTTCTATATGCGCGGCGAACGTGGTTAGAACTGCGGTGGCCGTTGAAGATTCTCACTACAAGCTCACTTACCAGTTGAGATTCAGTGCAGACGAGGAAATTATCGCCTGCAGCTGACTCTCTATTCACGCGTCTCAAAGCTAGGATGCTCCACGGTATCCTTTTTTTTGGAACAGGGTCACGGACGCTGCCAGAATGCCGTAACAAAAGAAAGACGGAAAATCCAAGGATGAGACGCGTCTCTCGAATTCGACCGTTCGGTCAATCGCTAGTTGTAACCACCGCTCGATTTCCTTGGGCCATAAAGGGGGGACCGAGGAAATTGGTGCTGTTGAGCCTGGGGCCTGGGGTACAACTCAGGGACGTGTAATTACCACGCAGTACTAAGGCAGTCCCGCCTAGGATCTAGGAAAACGGGGTTGGTAATAAAGGAGCGACTAAAAAGCACAGGCAAGCCGACTGGTCGATGCAAACAACGACATCGAAAAGGACGCAAACAAAAGAATTGAATATGTACAGCCAGTGCCGAGCTCCTGACGGGCTTGAGATGAAGGGTTGACAGTTCAAAGACACGTCCGATTCTTTTTTGGACGGGGGGGAAGAAATGGGAGGGAGATGGGAGACAGTGGGAACGTGGCCAGCAGGGAGCTTTTCACAGATGGGTAAGGTACATGTACTCCCCATCGGCCGCAGGTACCTCGCACCAAGCCGGCGCTGAAGAGGTACCTGACGTGTGATTGTTACTATTTTCTTTGGGCAGTTGGATTGGCTGGGCCATGTCCTTCAGTCAATCAGCTTCCTGCGTGTTGTAATTGAGGCCCGCTCCGCCTTGCCTGTGCACGCGCAGAACTGGGGGCGTGGCAGGGGTCATGGTAGCGAGTCCCAAGCTCCGGCGATAGCCAGCTACCTGTCAGGTGCCTGTCGAGCACAGGAATAGGGCGCTGCGTCGTTGTACCTTCCAAACAGCGAACCGTAAGCGTGGTCCATAGAAAGTCTGGACACGGTGCAGCAGCTTCCTCGAGGCTTCCTTTGTGGGCAAGAGGGAGGACCCGGTTGGGGTGGACCCCAGGTAGCTGGGTGCGCCAGTCGTTGGCACCAGACGCGTTGAACTTGAACATCAACATTTATGCGGCTGCAGGTCTCTCTTTTTCCGCCAAAACCACAGGTACATGCATATCCTACTCTGGGGCGCGTGGTGGCTGGCAGGAGCATTGGAGGGTAGGATCCAAAAAGCTCACTCTAGCCTATCACAAGCGAGGCCGAGACGTTGGGCAAATGCTACGTAGAGTCTGGTCCTTATCGGGGAGGCAGGTGCTCGAGAAAAAAAAAAGACGGAGCGAATATTTTTAATAAAGAGCACATAGACAGCTTGGCAGCTCTAACCCCAAATGTCATCGAGACCGTAGGTACCGATACTTGGCCCTCCAGTCCGGAATAAATGACGTATGGGCCAATAGGAGGCTGCCTGAGCCGTCACACCCCGGCTGGCATTGTGATCTGACGCGACAAAGCAAACCCAGCTGCGCTCACCCAGCCTTTATACCGGAATACTAGTGCATGCGCTTTAGTATCATAACAAATGCCCCTCATTGTAGGAAACTTGCTCTTTCAACAACATGAAAATCGCGAAAACCGCGTCGCGACTATCCGGCGCGGGGCCAACACTGCCCAGGTAATCTTCTTCTAGCAGGGCACCTTCGCGAATGAGTCTTACTTCTACCGCTATTGATAGACCCCTCGCTCCTTAAAGGTTACGGCCTGAACCGCTGTGTGGATTCCCCAGGAACTGCTACCTTACCTTTCGCAGTTAGAGGCCGATCCTCAACGTCTGCAGGGGCATCGACTACTAGGTGTAAACGGTAGCTGCCCAACACAGACCTAAGAACCATTCCGCCTCTTTGTGGGTATTATTGGCAGTGCCAGCTGTTCAAACATGTTTGATAAGGAAGGTCAGAGGGAAAGAAGTAGAAAACAGTAGAAAGTGAGGAGGGGCCGTGAACAGATGATTGTCAGAACACACTATGTCGTAGTTGCTGACGCTCAAAATGAATGACAGGGGAGCAATGATACACAAGGAACTCGATAACAAGTGTTTGTTGAAACCCCCAAAATCACAAAGAAACTACAACAAGACCCCGAAAATAAAGATAGAAGAGCACAAGGGGTCAACGGCACCGAAGAACCCCGCGTTGTCGAGGCTTGCCACCGCATAAACTCATCGAAACACATTCATCCCCACGTATAGGGTAGGCATGAAAGGAGCAGTCCCCAAAAGCTCGCGATCCCGCTGCTTGCAAGAAAGCAAACTAGTTTGCCAAACTGACCCTTCAAGATCCCATTTTCCCCATGCCTCCCTCTGCCCACCGCCCACATTTGACGAGAGACATGCCCAGCCATGCATTCCAGCCATGGCGTTCGTGAATCGTTGGAGAATCGCGTCCCCAGGTGTCTTAGACAATCCCGCCTGCCGTGAGCAAGCTTATTGCATGATTCATGAACGGTTGGAATGCGAGGAGGGTATATAAATAAATCCGTGTGTCACGAGATGCACCAGCTTGCCATATACAGAATGCTGAATGGAATATTGCAAAACAGGAAAAACCAACCACATTACCGCCAAGTGCCAGCCACGACGAAGAAGGTCAAATCTGACACACGAATCTCCCTACCAGTGTACTGCCAAGTGTGTGACATTGGAAATGGCACCTCAGCACTTCACAGCGGAATCAAGGGTTTTGTCAAATTGCGTTGTTAATTAGGTAGATACAGTCTATACATATTCAAGGAGTGTGTCTCTGGACATCACCCTCTGGGGTTCGTGCGATATATTCGCCACATTAGATCTGGGGTATGTCTCTAGATATATAAAAATCATGCGGCGATTTGTTTCGCTATGCTACCATGCCGTGTTCGCTTCATGTCGGTCCAGTCTCGCATTGAGGATCCGGGACAGGCCGCATGAGCTGATACAACACCACCGTACAACTTAGCAGGTGTTGCCGTGTAAAATAAATGAAAGGAATGCTGTTTTTTTTTAAGGGCTGCGAACCCCCTGTCCTGAACGCCGTCTATCACATCCACTACAACTGTAACTTAAACAAGCCAGATACACATGACGCTCGCATCATGCGTGGCTCGGTATTATTTGGATATTTGTTTTTATTTTGCCTCTCTCCAACGCCTACTTCATCTTAGAAGTTGGAAGACGCGTTGACGGGCTGTGAAGGCTGGTGATAATTCTCGAGCGTGGACTGGAAGGGGGAACGTCCAGACGACTGTGGGGGAGGGAGGCCAGCGGAACTAGGCTCAACCTTGTCGACAGGAGTGTAGCCACCGTTGTATTCCATGAGGCCGTCGTTCTCCTCGGCAAGCTTCTTGCGAGCACGGATTCTCCAGGCGACGAGAGCGAGGGCACCCAGAAGGATGGCGCCACCAACACCACCCACGACACCACCGATAATCTTCTTGTTGTTGTCGCTCAAGCCGGATGAGCTAGAAGAACCGCTGTCGTTGAGATCAGGGGTGGTCGTCGTCACGGAAGCACTGGTACTGACGACCTGTGCACCATCAGAGTTGGTATAGGTGACGGTGAGATACGAAGTAGAAGTGACTGGGCTGGCAGAGGTGGTCTGCTTGCTCTCAGACTGAGCAGCACTCGTCGTCGCCTTGGAAGCTTCCTCCGAGGTGGAAGTAGTCTGTTGGGCCTGGCTTGTCGACGCGGGATTGCTGGTCTGGGCGGCACTGCTCGTGGGAGCGGCTGAGCTCTGGCTGGTCGTTGAAGCTTCGCTCCTGGAGGTTGTAGACTCGACCCTGCTGGTCGTTGATACTTGATTGCTGGTAGATGTGGTCTCGACCTTGCTGGTCGTGCTCTCCTTGGTAGTTGTCTCCTGCTTTGCAGAAGATGTTTGGGCGGCACTGGTAGGGACGGATGCAGCGGAAGTGGATGGACTCGAGCCGCTACCGGTCTCGCTTGCAGCAGCACTGTTGTTGTCGCTGCCACTCTGGCGTGCCATCAGCTCGCGAATCACCTGTCCACCCTCTCGGATAAATGAGGCCTCCGTGGCCAGGCCAATGGCGACCACGAGGAAGAGGATCTGGAAGAATCGAGTAGGAAACATTCTGTCTAGGACGCCTCAAAGGGCGGGCGGCTGGTTGTGGTTGGTTCTTGAGGAAGCAACTTGGTGTTCTTGTTTCTCCAAGCGTTGCTCTTAACAACCTGCTCACAGGGCTGAATTTCCCCTAGTAATTTAAAGTGAGATTAGTTCAAATTTGACGCGTACACTCGAGGTACGGCTAACGAGAGTTAACCCTTCTCCAATCGAAATATGAAGAATGGGAAGAAGTGGAATAAAACGAAGGAGATAATGAAAGGTCGTTGGACAAGAGAGATGGGAAAGAGGAGTAATGAAGGTGTGTGTGGTGGCCGTAGGTAGGGGGCGACTTTTCAAACAATAATGGTACGGCCGGAAGATGGCACTAGATGGAACGGGATGGGGTGAAGAGTTGGCAGACTTCGTATTCAGGTCCGCCAAGGCCCACTAAAGGCCCTCCTGACAGCCAACAGGAGCCAGCCGCCCTCCGCCACCCCCGAGACTAGGATGGGAGACACTGCCACGGTATCACCTAGAGAGCACTATAGTAGCCGATCATAGCACTTACAGGCAGCCGAAGCGCTATGGGCACTCGCTTTCCGCGGTGACCTGGACCCTAGCCCAGGCGTCATCCTGGGTAAGGTAGCCTGGAACGTCACACGCACACACCCCCACCGCTTAGCTGCCAGGCGGCCCAGGCTCGAGTCCATTGGCTCGGGGACAGCTGATTAGAAGCGAATAGTGTCACAGCCACGTTTACAATCGTTTCTGACTATTGCTCTCGCCAGAAGCGGCACCCCTGCATTTCCTGCTTTAATCCAGGAACAAGAACGATGGCGTATGCAATACATCATAAAGCAAGCTACTGCACTCGGGCACCCGTCGTGAGGGCCAGTTTCCCATCCCCATCCGCAAAGTCACGATTTTCTAGACGCAAAGGAGCAAAGCCGACAACAAAGAGACAATAAGCGACTTCGGGCAAAGGGGCCTGCGTGCCTGCAGACGTAAGTACTTGGCGTCGAGACTAACCTGCAACACATCCCCCTCTCTTTGGCGCCTGGCGTTACGCGAACCCCCCACCCATCATCAACAAGTCTGTCTTACCTCCGCCCAAAATTTCAATGCAATATTACCAGAGAGAGCCCCACTAGACCAGGTACCTGTAGAGGACGATCCAATGTCAAGTCGGTACGTAGATACATGCAGTCAGACATCGTTTGAGATCATCACCGCCAGCAGGACCAGTTCGATTCCGCCAATCCCGCATTGACAGCATATGCCTTCATTTCCCCGCAACTCCTCTTCACCAGTGGACTTGATTGATAGATGTTTCGGAGCAGCAAGTATGAGCCGTGGAGAAGAGAGGGAAAGAAAAGAGGAACGAAAAGGGGACGGGCTATCGACAAAATAGCCTCTTACGTGGACACGGGTGTGGCTGTGCCAGTCTCGGGGTCGCTTGGAATGTGTGTTCCGCGCCGAGACTGCCAGATTGAGCAATCATGCAGAAAGATGCTGTTCGAAAATAGAAATTTGTCTCTTGACTCCTACGGACGAGAATTTTGCGTCGTTCTACCGATCCAAGTACCCCGTCCTCAAAATGCAAACCCAGTACCTCGCACGCTCAGTGCGTTGCGTATGCGCAACCAAACAAAAAGAAAATCGTGTTTCTCATCAAGCAATTCCGCGAAGAATACCTCAATTATAGAGGCTTTTTTAAGGATAGAGTATCTGTGTGAAATGAAAGATGTGTGCGCAATGAGTGAATATTTTCGTATATGCTGTAAAAGGTGTACCTCCTGTTATTAAGAATCGTGGTTCCAATTGCGATCTGCGCTAAGAACTCCAGATTGGAACGCCTCGATAAGATGGTGAGTTATAGCTATGCAGAACTCGGTATGGAGGAGCATCTGGCCTACTGTCTCCCGGCTGACCCGGAGAACTGTCGCTCAAGCTCGAGTCGGATGCGCACTGGCTATAAGTGTGAGATGGCCCATCAATGCCAGACTTGGGGAAGTAAGGTCGCGATCGACCAGAACGGCTGAAGCCGTGAGGTGGCATCGACTTGTGCCTTGGGGCAGACCTTTCTCGGGCTTCTTGGGGACTCTCTTCACGTCTGTGGTGCTCCGCAGATGCAATAGGGATAGTACGTAGGGAGTGGCTTAGGTATTGGCGATGGGGGTCAAACGTATCGCCCGCTTGGCGCTTCGACGGAGCCGGGGGTAGTGGTGGCACCGGCTCAGATTCTCCAGCGAGAGTCTGGGAACGAGCGCTGGTATGGTGTTTCGATCGCCTCTTTTTCTTGCTGCCTCTGGTATTAAGGCTCACTGGTGGCGGGGCCTTTTGCAGACTTTCCAGGGAACTGTCCAGGTCATTGAAGCTTCCAGACTCCCTGACTGTTTCGAGAAATTCGGGGGCAGACCTTCTAGTCCTGAGGCGTGGCTGCTTCGGATGTTTTGGAACAAGTACATTATTAGAGGGCCCGTTCCTCTCATGTCTGGCGTAGCCCTCGTACTCAATAGACAGAGAAACAAAAGCTTGGTCAAACGCGCTATTCCCAGCGCTCATACGAATACTAGCAAGACTTGCAACTTGAGCCTCAAACCCCATGAGCGATTCAGAATCTATGCCATCGTCTTCTTCGAAATGTTTCGAGAGCCGCTGTTTTTCAGGTGATCTAGACTTAGACTTGGAAACAAGCATTGAAGCTGCACGAGAAAGATGTGAGGGTTTTGACGCTCCCGACTGCTTCTGGCCGGGCTCTGCGGTACGCTTCTGATCAAGACTCTTTCTTGATACATTTGATCCGTGCTCTCGAAGCTTCTCCTGCGCATCGGTGGGCATGGGAGGAGGGGGGCTTTTTAGAAGTTGTGTAGAGTGCACATCAGGCAAGCTTCGCCGCCTGCTACCGAAAAGTCTCTCAAATTTGGTTGGCTTTGAAAGCACAGATCCTTCATCTATCTTTTTAGAAGTTCCGTGCTCTCCAGAGTGCGAAGAATTAGACCGAGTCCTTGCTGGAGACTCTGCGGGTGAGGTCGTGGGAACGGGATGTGCTTGGTTTGGCTGGGTTCCTCTATGGCTCTTCCCATGTCCTTGCGGGACAGCATTTCCAGAATCATTCCTAAGCCTCCCTCTTGAAGTCGAACGCGAGAGCTCTTGTGAACGCCTGGGAACCGGCTCTTCGATGCCTGCTTGTGTTCGTGCCTCTCCGGAACGAGCAGAATCAGAGCGTGATCTTGAAGCTGAGAATTTCGAAGAAAGGACGGCCGCAGCAGTATTTCCTTGTGGATTTGCATCACAATTGTGCCCTTCCACACTCCCGTGGTGCGCTTTTTCGGTCCCTCGTGCTGGCTTTTCCGAAGGAGTTTCGTTCGATCGCACCCCATGAGCAACTTGTTGGATAGAAGGAGCGGATTGTGGCTCTTCGCGCCGGGTACGTGTCTGCTCAATCTTCTCCTTCTCGGCTGCTCTATGCTCCATTTCCCGTTTTTTCTTTGAACCAAAAAGCGATCGGAGGGAGAGGCTGGAGCTATATCCGCTATCTGTATGTTGTGCATCGGGTCTTACGGGCGAGTGCTTCAAGCTTACGCCACTATCCGCTCGGTTCACTCTCGACCCTGTCACAGTTTGGCCACTCTTGATTGCCTTATTGGCATGTGATCCTAAGTTATTTGAGGAACTGGCGGATTTCTCATCCGTGCGAGTTGTTCCTGGTACCATTGGCCAGAAATCTGAATCCCGCCGGGGCTCAAGGCCGGTGGAAGCACCCTTATCGCCATGGGAACCCCCTCTTTCAGTTGTTGCTGCTTGATGCTGCGCGGGCACCTCTCTTCTGACGTCATTTGGCCTTTCAATCTTAGCGTTCATAGCTTCCGGACGAGGTTCTCCATGCTGTTGATCAAAGTAATCGCCATGTTCTTCACCTGACGTACTTGAATTGCTCACAGCACCGGCCGGAGTCGAGACCGGCGTGCCGTTTGTGATCCTCAATGAGCCGAACTTCATCACGCCAAGTTGCTTGTACTCGTTCTCAGAAGGTGTTTCAACCAGAATTGAATTCTCCGGTCCTGTGAATGGTGATGGGGTCGACAGTCTTCGCTTCATTTGGTTCGCATATTCTTCGAAATTGAAAGACGACGAAGAGGCCGGTGGCAAACTGCTTCGGGGGTCCTTCTTTTTCGCCGGAGCAGCTTTGACGGGGGTCTCTAGGCGGGTTGCAACACCTGGTGTCTCGGTTGTGGACCTCCGGCGGATCGGGATATAGAGTGAAGCGTCGGATTGCGTACGACTAATTGGAGTACTCGATGTGCCTTGTATACGGTGTCCTCCGGCCAGTTTCTCATAAGTGTCCCGGTCGTAGGTTTTGTGAGAAGGTTCTGAAGTTTTGTTCTTTAAATGCCCAAGCTCAGGTAGAGAATCCGAACAGGCCGACTCAATTTGCGCCGATCTACATCTGAAACGTTGTGGACTAAAGTTAGCATACTAGTGGACATGGTAATAAGGAAGGATATGAATGACGGGATGGATTTAAGTTGGAAAGCACTGACTGGTCTGATTGGTTCCGTGGCCGATATTGGCCACGCATAACGGTGGGAATATTACTACTATTAGCCATCGACCCATCTGTCGTGTCGTTATTCCGCAAGCCAGCAGCCTTCTGCTGGTTGACAGCGCCATCTTGAAGGCGAGGAAGCGCCGGGAGCTGGTCAATCCCGCTTCGCCTGCGGGCATTGTCTACCGGCGCGTCATCTCGGCCTCCCTGGGGATGGGGCTTTGGCTGATCCTTCAGTCTCGGCTTGGCCTGTTTAGACGACTTTAGATCCGGGTGCCTTGGTGGGTCGGCCAGATAAGAGTTGGAGGAACGGTTCGCGCCATTCGGTTTTGCGTCCGTCCCAGCAACCTGGGACTTGGGGAGCTTCTGAGGAATCCTCCCGGACTTCTCAGACGACGGATGGTTGCCCATCGAGAGCCCAATTGGAATAAGACGTCAACCGGAAGAAGGTGCCACAATCGTTGTTCTCGGAAACTCCAGCCGGACCAACCATCCGCAATACAATCCTGCAGCAAGGGATGTTTACCGTCTAAGCCATGCCGCCCGCTGGACCCCGATCTTTCCAGGCTTCGACACGGATGGAACAAAGTAGAGGGGAGAGAAAGTGGAAAGTCAAATAGTATTCATACGGAAGACGAGCTGGAAACACCAGCGATGGAGTGGGTGGGCTATGTAAATAAGCCAGGAACTCATACGAGATGAGATACAACTATGGAGCTCGTGCTATTAGGGGGGGGACTCTCTTCCCTGCATGTTTGATCCGCGTAGTCGAAGAGGTTGAAAGCTTGTTGTGAGTGGCCAATTACAGTCGGTGCCGCTGAAGGTACGTGGCGGGAGACGGCTGCATGCGATGCGAAATCGTGATCGTTCCCCGCCGCATTCGCTCAACCTCGCGCTACTCTACGACCAGAGCCAGTTTCCGATCTGCAGCGTCTTCCGGATCACTTGTCCCGCTCTGATGTTTTTCCCCATCTTCCAGTTTCACCTCAGTCTTTTGAGCATCCTGTTCCTGTGCAGCTGCTGCGTCTCCGATGCGCACATCCGTTCAAATAACGCCCCTCACTTGAAACCTGCTGAGGCATCCTGTGCCCCTGCCTATCTGTGCTGTGCCTGCCAGATCCGGGCGCCATCAGGAAAGAGATGCGGAATTGGCTGGTGGAGGTGAGAAATCCCATATCTGTGGGTACCTAACTTTGCTTAGATCGGCCCGTGGCATTAATATTCGCTAGTGATTACTGAAAAATCAGGTTATTCCACTCTCCGTCCAAGATTTCCATCTTGCCATCTGCATTGGGCTAATGGTAATTTATGCACCCGGACGTGAAAGCTTGTTTCAGAATGAGTCCTTCTGAATTGCCGTGGGTAATGTAGCTGTCATCGGTACGTCACAGATCATGCCAGTCTGACTCGTGCGCCTACTGCAGTCAGAGGTTGTGATTGCGATGGCCGCTTACCCTGCATCTGTGCACCTTATATCTACATGATTTGCTGTTTGTGTCGGGATCGCCGTTGGGTTTTCGCGTCTTCATCTCTTTAGGTTTCCCCGGAAATTATTGGGGTTTTGACTTCCACGTCGCGTGCGGTAGGTATCAGGATTCGGTAGCCCAAAGTAAATTTGCTTACTCTACAACTTTATCCCAGCTAGCAAGCGGTCAAGGAGCAGATAGGCAGACAGGTAAATCCCTGCCTGTATTCAGGTCTAAATACCATCCAATGCATTCTATTTCCCTCCGCGGCCCCCGAGGAGGCCATGGAATATTATAACATGTACATAGAAACTGCTTCCGACGTCTCTGAGCCAGTCGTGACATGGACCAAGAGATCACGTCAAACCGCGGCTGAGCCTGCCTCCTAGCACTCGCCAATCACATACGTGCAGCCCTCATCCCCGACCCAAACTTCGTGCACCCGCCCAGCCTCGACGTCAACGCGCGACCCGGGCCCATATGTTACCCTCTGCTGGCTGGTTTCGTTCGGATACCAAAGGGTCAACTCGCCGGCGAGGATGAGATGAGTGGTCAAGCTCGCGTGGGAATGTGGTGCATAGTGGAAGCCCCTGCGTCGAGTACAAGAATTAAATAAGCGCCCGTGTCCCCAACCGCCCGGCCCGCCGTCCATGGGCCTCGCTTTGGCATGTTCTTGGTAGGCAGTGAACTTACGGGCCGTCAGACCACGTAAATACGTGGTCGAATCCCCAGGCACGCACCTGGTCCTCTTCTTGATGTCCCATTGTCAGTGGTGAGATGCTGCTGGTGGAATGTCTAATATGTATTTTTCTCTCTCTGGTTTCCTCTTTCTGAGCCTGGGGGTAAGCGAGTACATATGATGTAGATGAATCCTCTAGGAAAGCGGGAATTTCGGCATGAGGTCCAGGCAAGAATGACAGCTCATCCTTTGTCAGTGTGAAGAGTCTGGGCGGCAGATGCTCAAATCTGTAGCAACCAGCGTTTGAGGGCGGGCTGCAATTGTGACAGCCTGCCCCATGACCGGATGATGTCAAAGACGATGATTTGCCCGCCTCACTCTATACTTAAAATGATAACGAACCCGCCGTTCGTGTCGTGCGCAGCTAGCCGTCCCTAGCCTAGGCCCACATCGCCTGGCCTAATGGACGGACACCAATCCAATACAAGTCTGCTAGCATTGAATTGAATGCTGGAGAGGGTGGCCTAGACTTCGAAGCTGCGCCTCCTCTTCCTGTTCAGCTTTTGAAGACGAGAACCTTGAACACAAATGAATAAGCCCTAGCACCAAAGGCATTGGCTTGAGGGTAATATCTTGCCTCTGGCGAGATTTTGTTTGATATGTTGCGTAATCATGTCGGCTCCATGGCCCTCTCACTGCCTGTGCAAGCGTCTCATCATCGAATGTCCAGACTCGCTTGGCAAGGTGTGGGATTCCCATTGCATACTCAGAAAGGAAACGTAGGACTTGTGCTGGTGTCCTGGACGAAGGACAGACAGGCAGGAATGCCCAAAACCAGCGGGAGAAGCCAATCACCTGGCCACGTCTTATTCAAACTGTGCTGCATTAGCATGAATACAGGCCGACGTCACGGTGTTTTCAGCTTTGTCCCATAAGGGCCATGACCTGTCCTCGGCTGGAGCTGCGCCTTTGGCTGCGCAGCGCCAGTGGAATGATGCCCGCATGTTTGTCAGGATACACGGCAGGTAGGTCAGCACAATGCAGCCAGGACCGCCTTTTGGCCCAGTAAAAGCCAGCCGATGTCACCTCTGGACAGTCTGTATGGAGTAAGACCATGCAATCCTCTGTCCTTCACCCACTGGCGATGCGCCCCTGGACTCACTCATGGAGGCCGCTGTGGGAGCGCTGTAGCGGAGTGGATATGGGCAGCACAGCCCGCTCGATGCGCTGTACCTACCTACCCAGCCGTCTCTGCACGTCCAGTGCCTCACCTCGGGAAAATATCTGCGCTGCTCTGCTACCTAACTCGTACGTGGTACGAATTTTGAAGGTACATACCTGATCTCACCCAGACGGAATGGGTGGATATTTGCGGTGATAATCAAGTCCCCTGGCTACAGCTACAGGTCAATTGGGCACTAGCAGGTTGACCGTCCCGCGTCTAAGCCATTCCATCACCGCCTCAGCCTCCTCACCCGATCCTTCATGCTGGCCCTGATCGAGCGCCGGTCCGCTTTCTTACCTACTTACTGCTTGCGCAAGGGCCTCGCCGTGTCAAACAAAGCCAGCTCCATTTAATTAACTAGGTAGGCGAGCCGTGAGCTGGGGAGGGGCGTTGCCGAAGCTAATGATCCCTTCTCCACAGCGCGCCGCCCGTGTTGACAGAGCTCGTTGACCACGGGCGAGCTCGATTGTTTTCCTGGTGCGAGGCGATATCCTGTCTCTCAGGTCGCAGTAGGTGCAAACAGCCACCCTGCCCGATCCCTGTGGCACATTGCACCCTGCAGGTCCAGTCCAATCCCGTCCAATCCCAGCCTTACCAGTGGGTAATCTGCAACCTGCAGCTGAGCTGCAGGCCGATGGAAGGGTGTCCCCCATTCTCGGGCCCAGCAAAAATCAACCCGCCCCCCCGTCCCTCCGCCTCTCAGGCCGTGCGAATCACAATCGTGCTGCGCTGCCCGAGTTCTGCAACTTGGGAGCATACACAGCAGCAGGGCGCACCGCTTTGCTAGTTATACCTCCTCCCTCCTCCCTCCTCCCTCCGTCCATCGTCATCAGCACCTCTACATATGCTGTCGGTTCCTGTTTGGCGTGGCTGACTTTTCCAGCCCTCGGTGCCAAGCTCCATCCTCCGTCCCTTGACCAGCAATTGAGATCGAACCTCTTTCGCTAGCGCATGTGTTTTTGCTTTACTAGGGAGGGCGACGCTTCACATTCTCCCAAGATGAATCTCGGCCGGTTTGTAAGTCCTCCTCACTTAATTCTTCTGCTGGCAGCAGAACCTGACCTTGTCTGGCAATAGCGAAGACGAGCCGATCGGGCTCCAACCATGTCGTTGACCGAGAACCGGAACGCCGAAAGTAATGGAGTAATGAAGGAGTTGATCTTCATCAGTACAATGTTCCTGCCTGCTATCAAGGGATGGCGCAAGCCACGGCTACCCCACGAAACCTCGACAGCTGTCTCTACGACATTTCCCGACCGAGATATGATCGACCTGAGCGACGAAGTTCATAAGCATATCAAGCGCCTATACGAGACCCTCAAGGGCACAGACGAGCTGCTCTCCAAAGAAAAGTTCTTGGCATTCTTGCGGGATGTCCAAGGCGAGCCCAAAGCCGTGCTCGACCGCGACAGCTACTCTCTGGGCGACTTCCTCTATACTTGGAATATGTTCTTCAGCAATGCGGCTAGACCCCTCCCAACCAGAAAAGATCTCTCGAAACCTCTGTCCCATTACTTCATCAACAGCAGTCACAACACTTATCTTCTTGGAAACCAGCTCGCCTCGAGAAGCTCGCCGGAGGCGTATAGAACGGTAGGTTCCTTTACTGGAGATTGCAGATGAGCCGGGGGCTAACAGTGTCTAATCGTTAGGTTCTCAGAAATGGATGCCGGTGCATTGAGATTGATGTGTGGAATGATGATGCGGTGACACAAACGATGACAAAATCTCACCGAATCGAACATTCCAGAGGTATATCGGCAATATCTGGGAGCTCCCTCCCATTTGTGGCCGACACGCTTCGTACAATGCTTGGCGATGACGAGTCTACCGGTCGTTCGCGAAGCACGAGCAGAAATAGCCGCCCCCCAATTGACATTACACCTCGATCAAGCACCAATTTTAAGCCGGATGGGAAGGAGTCGTCTGATACAAATGAGCGCAAAGAGTCCAAAGGGCCCGGGGAGTGCAAAGAGCTGAAAGGGCCCAAAGAATCCAGCGACAAGCTAGAGGTGATTAATGTCGTACGCACATCCTCGCGATCTTCCAGGCCGAGATTCCCCAAGGGGGAGCCTATCGTCACCCATGGTTGGACGCTGACGACTCCATGCGGCTTCCGTGAGGTGTGTGTGGCCATCAGGGAAACGGCATTCGTTGACAATGACCTGCCTGTCATCATAAGCCTTGAGGTTCATGCCGACACAGAGCGTCAGGAAAAGATGGTGGAAATCATGAAAGAGGAATGGCAAGATTTGCTTCTAGATAAACCGCTCGAGGGCCTTGACCCGAGCTTCCAGCTGCCCAAATTGTCGGACATGCGGAACAAGATTCTGGTCAAGGTCAAGAGGGCCCCGGCAAGAATAATTGCACCCCACAACACCATAAACCTTCCGCCTGTCTTTGCTGATGACGAGGATGCTTCGGACTCTGACGATGATAAACCGCCCCCTGGCCCACCAAGGAAGACAGCATCTGTCCCCATCACGGGGCCATCGCCACCAGTGACACCGGAAATTAAGCAAGGCAATGTCAAAGTGCCCATCTGCCAAGCGCTGAGCTCTTTGGCTGTCTATACCCGCAGCGAACGTTTTCAGAACGTCACCAAGCTGGAATCAAGGATCCCTAGCCACATATTCTCTATAAACGAGAATAGGATTGTTGAACTGGATGAAAAACACCACGAGCAGATGTTCAAGCACAACAAGAAATTCTTCATGAGAGCTTTCCCAGCAGGCAGGAGAATCGACAGCTCCAATCCAGATCCCAGTTTTTTCTGGCAGAAGGGAGTCCAGATGGTGGCCATGAACTGGCAGAACTTCGACGACGGCATGATGATAAACGAGGGAATGTTTGCGGATGAGAACGGCTGGGTCTTGAAGCCGCCTGGCTATTACCCTACAGACCGAGATTCATTGACGGAAAGAGACGCAACCCCGAGGAACACTATGGACCTCTCCATCACCGTCTTCAATGGCAGCCGTATCCCATCAAGCTCAGACAACGATGACGCATCTAGCCACTCGTCCGGGGATATCAATCCACTGATCAAAGCAGAGTTGGTCATTCCAAAAGCTGTGAGGTCTAAGGACGACGGCAGCTACAAGCAGAAAACAATTTCTGCAAAGTCTGACTACCCAATCTTTGGATCGAAAGGTCACAAGCTATGCTTTCCCAGGACCAAGGACATCCTGCAGCAACTCACATTTCTCCGGTAAGTTATCTTGGCCCCTCTTTCCTTCCTGCAATCACTGGTTGCTTGATTCAAGTGGCTTTGGCACAGCATATACATGCGTCTCTTGTAGTGCATATCGTGGCGACACGGCCTGTCTGCACGTACTGCATAAACTAAGACACAGTATTCTTCCGACCCCTCCTCCGACCTGAAAGCAAGTGCCTCGGTCAACAGGAGGCGACAATGCATCGTACCCCCCATTGGATATCAGTGTTCAATCGGCTAATATCTCTCCTATAGGCTGAAAGTCGAAGACGAGGGAATCGTCAGCTCCCCCATGCTGGCGTATGCTTGCATTCGTCTTGACCGGCTCGGCCAGGGCTACCGCTTTATCAAACTCCGCGACTTAAAGGGTCAGGAGGTCGAAGGCGGAAAGCTCTTCGTCAAGATCGACAAGACAGTGCGAGCAGCGACCCAATCCTCCGCGTAACAGTGTTGGGTCAACAGAGGTATCGGCATGGCCGCCCCATCGCATGTAGTTTGGTGTACTTGGTGTACGGATTTCGCATAACTCATAGACAGCAGGCGTTTTGCTCTTTAGGCGATAATGGACCTATAATTGGCAAGGTATTACGTTGGTTCTGATTTGGATAATGTTCTTTTTCCCGCAAGCTGCCTTGGGTACGGAGGACCAAAATTGACACAGGCGATTTGCTGGGCTTGTTTGCTTTTGTTTTTCTTTCGTTGTTTTTATGACCAAATCACTTTTGAGGGGGACCAAATGGGACAGGGGGGCAAATGGTATACAGAACGTCAATCCCCCGGCCCTGAAAAAGCACAAATAAACATGGGCTGAGAGGAACTTTCTTTTAGCGAACAGAGAACAGAAATGACATCGTTATGAAAAGTACGTAATTTTTGCCAAGCCACTCAGCGTATTCCGTGAGGCTTAAGTCGTTTACAACCCGACAGTTCGAACATGTGATATCACAAGTAACTAGTCAATTTAAGATCCCCCCTTCGCACTCGATTTCTCCGATCCCGTTGCCATATTGGGCGAGTCGCAGCTTGAGAGGGCGGGGCGTGAGAAACGACGCCGGTGCCTTCTTTGTCCTTGTCCATCCCGGTTATGCTTACAAGCCTTACGCCTCCCACGCAGGTCACGTCAACCACGCCCCTTGGGGGCGTTCCCATTATGTGACAATACTAGACAGAAAACCGCCGTTGCCCTTATTCCGTCTCACCACCCAAGTGGATGGGTGTACGCGGAATCAGCAGAAACGACAAACAGGGAACGGAGCACGGGGTATTTTAAGGTAACGGACGGTAGTCAAGTTTTGCATGAAAGGGGACCACGGCAAGAGGGATCTTCTCGCGCAACCCGTAACCGTCTGGGGTTGCTCCCGGTGAGACGGGGGCTTGCTGTCGTGTAACAGGCGGATGCTGTGTAACCAGCTCAACAAGACAGAGCCCGCCAATCGTAGGACGAGGCGAAGTAAGATGATCGTCCGGGCCGATGTGCTACCCAAAACCTACGTATGTCCTCTGTCGTGCTGACCAGCTGGTTAATTTTAGGAATATCCCAGCAACAGGGAAAGACTGGTGTCTCAAGAGGGGAAAAAAGCAAACATGGGGAGAGACTTACTGTCTATATCGGTTTTTTTTGCGATGGGCTTTCGCAACGGGATGACCCCCGCTTACGAGCTTCTACATTGATACGTGGGAAGGAGGGAAGGAATCTCGCCACCAACTAAGCTTGAGCGGTGCGGGTGTATAAGCATCTGATAGACAAGCATGGCGAATCTTGGCAGGGCGAGACTCAGGTCCAAGGAATCCCCGGCGCCAGATTGGCTCTCTCCGCCCGTGAAAAAGCGGAAACGATCCAAGACAGGGCGTCGAGATGTGTGCGTCAATGTTTCAAAGGTGAGCGCTATCATTACATACCGAAGAGACGTATCCAGGATATTTCAGCCATCAGCAAAGCGAAGCATGCCAATAACGACACCGAGTTCCGGTCAGTTGTGACAGAGGCTGAGCTCGTGCTCGGACCTTTTGAGCCCGTCTGAAACACAAAATGTAGTTGTGATGATGGGATGCTGATGGGATCAGCAGAAATACAAACCCTGTGTTGAGGCATCGAGATTAGAAAATGTCTCTGAGACATCGTCAAAAGAAAGAAAGGACGAAAGCAAAAAACAAAGCAAAAGGTCTAGGCCGGGCTGCATGTAAATTCGCCGAAGCACAGCTAGAGCTGAGAGCCTCATTGGTTGCTTGCTTTTGTTCTTGACGGCTGTTGGGTCGCGATGGTTGTCCGGTGGCAGGCATTGATTCGACTCATCTCCACCATCATGCATTAGCAACCTGTCCTTGGCCGTCAACTTTGCTCCGAGTGGATGGCTCTGCCGCTCTCCCCCCAGTTATGCTTGGCTCAGGTAAGAAGGGCTTTGGCGATCACACGCAGGTTTCAGTTTTGGATCTACACATGGAGGTGAGGCGATCTATGTTGTCTCTCATCACTTCCACGGAGAGGAAACTGAGCTGGAGCCCACATTGAAACTCGGCCTTTGCAGCTGGTAGTCTGATGTGCTAGGGGACGGACCTGGGAGGAGGTAAGCAAAAAGCAAACAGACGGTGCAGAGAAAGAGCTATCGTAATCAACGTCTGGTTCAACCAGGGGTCGTGGCAGCAGCCCGACCAAGTGATTTAGATTTCTGTGTGGCGCGGTGAGATGGCAATATTTCTTTTTATTTGGAAACTAGATCCTGGAAATGGTAGGTTCGATCATCGTGACGCGAGAGTGCGTAATACTTACGAGGAGATGTTGTCGAGGGACCACCAACAACGACCACACCGGCGCTGCCCAAAGCCCACATGCTCGAGGCAGCCAAGTATTGCTTACCTACCTACTACTAAGAATACTCCCGGTACATACATATCTCGGTCTGATACAAGGGGACTTACGGGACGCACGTACCAGCGGTATTCTTTTCAGTTTCCCTGTGGCATGTGGATCATCACATTACATCAGGCCGTAGCGTCTACTCGCACTCCCTAGCCAGATTTAGGATGGACAGGTAGAAACGAGTGCCTGTTGACCTTGGTGCATAAACCGGTGAGTGGTCTACCTGACCGGTAGGGTACCGTTGGCGGCGGGATGGGGAGGAGAGAGAGGAGAGAGAGGAGAGGCAACTTGGTGAGTTTCTCTGGCGGAAGCCCTCTCGAGTTTACCAGGTTGGGTATAAAGGCTTGTGAAGCATGCAGGGGTTTCCATGGCTCAACGACCAATCAGTTCGGCTACCAGCTTTTATGCCATGCACTGGCCCATCCAAAATCGACGCCACGTTCCTGAAGACATGACTAGTCCCGTCTTTCCGCGTGGCCCTTGAACAGCTGCGCCCCATCCAGCCAATACTTGGTGTGGTTCGGTGTGAACTGTGTCACGAGCTGACGTGACTCCAATGGCGGCTTGCTTTTGCGAGCTGCACATTAGGCTCAACACGAGCATAGAGAAGAAACCCCATTGTGGATGGATCGAAGGATTCGGTGGATAAGCCGGATGCCAACTCCTCCTAGCTGGAAGAGCGAGGTGGTAAGGTCAACCTCCTCATTCTTCCGCCGGCAGTGAGGAACCCCTGCGCAACTCTTGGTGACCAGGGCCCGGGCTTCAAGCTGCTTAGCCCAATGACCTGGTTCCCGGTGGGGTCATCGGCAGCAGATCTTGGTCTCTGGGCTCGGCCATCTGAGGATCCCTGGGTTCAGCTTTTACCAGGGCTCCATGTCTCATATTACATATAATACCTACACTTACTGACGCAAGCAAGCAAGCAAGCAAGCATCTTGCAGTTGCATACACCCCCCAAGCTATCGCCTAAGTACTTGCTTTTGAGTTCCCCTTTGACTCCATGTAAGAATGGAGGTGTGTGTGCGTGCCTGCAAACGAAGCAACCCCAAAAAAGAAACAAGTGCCACCGTCACCCCTCTTAACTAGTGCAAACAAAAAGAAAAGAAAGAGCAATCCTCTAGCAAATAAAATCGACAGTCCTGCATGCTATGTGGGCGACTAAGTGGGTCATATAGATCCCATCTTCTGTGCTCCAACTTCAAATCCTTGCATCGGAGACTAACTGCTGCCAACAGCCAATGGCCGCCTGTCAATCAAGGTTATTGAAAGATCCCCGGCTTGGAAATGAGAGAGAGTGATGCGACCAGGCCTCAGAAGTTGGTGTCTGCTGACAAAACTCATCGCGGCTTTCAGCTACCGCCGGTTCTCCCGGGTGCGTGTATCAAGTGACACGACAAGTGCATGTATGTCTATCGGAGCCTTGGCAACCGCATGGATGGATTGATAGATTTTACTGCCGAAACGCCCTTCCATCTGTCATTGTATCGACTAGTGCTCTGGGCTATCCATATCTCATTATCATGCGAGGGTGATCCTGGCCTAGTGCCCGTCCTGGCCAACCTCGATGAGCCCTGTCTACGCCGCACTGTCCACGAAGTTTCGCTTCCCCGTCGCTGCCTATCTAACCTTTTGCTGTCAGTCGTATCCCGGGATCCCAGGTCGATGCCCCCGGATCAGCACCTACTCTCGGATGTCCACTTTGGCCTCGTATGTACCATGTAGCCACAGCTCTCCTGCGGACGGTTTGTGAGAGTCTTCTCATCGATGTACCATCTGAGGCTCTACCTTTCCCCCTAAACTTTTAGACGACCTCTAGCCTCGGGTGCTTTAGGTTGAATCCATAAATCTATATTAATCCCCCTCCCTCCCAGCGTTTTTCTCGATCCATCCCTCAGATCTCTCACACAAACCATCTTCCCATCTATTCAAGGACTACTTTCTCAACCAAATCGTCAGCAATCTCTGCAAAACATCAAACTCCCTCATTCAACAGCTCATCTTGTCTACTTTATTTCATCATGGGTGTCCAAGATTCTCTTTCTCTCGGCGGAAGACGAGCTGCTGCTCTCTCCCTTGATGTCGACTCCAACCCCCCAAGCCCACATGCCAAGGGAACCATCCAAACCGGCAAGGTAAGTGATACCAGTCATGCTGCTCCACGGGCCGGGATCGATCTGGAACTTCAGCTAACACTTTATACAGCTCCCTGGCACTCGATGCCCCACCTGCGCTCAGGAGGGCAAAGAGGTCTGGGTGGTTCCAGGCCTCAACTGTGCTCATTGCGGAACCGCTTGTGACTGAGGAACCCGGCCCACCAAGAATCTCGCCTGCTTCAAAGCCCCATCTCAGCGCCGCCACTCCCTGATGGGACCTGAAGCTGGAGCAGAGGAGCTGTGAGATCATGCCAAATCTCCCTTGTTCCACTACGTATTTGCGTTCCAATGATCGCAGTTTCTGTTTGGCGTTATGTCGCTATTGGGAAGCTTGCTGGATTTTATGATAAATGGGTTATTTTAGGTAGTTTTCTTTTGTTTTCTTTCGTTGGGATATAGGGTGAATACGAGCCTGATGCTGATGGGGGCTCGAAGCCTATCATTTACAAATTGTGGGAGTGGCATCGGCAGGAATCCGGTTCTCGGCTTTTTTTCTTTTTCTCTCCCTCTCTTTCCCAGTTAAGTATGTCTGAAAGTAAAGAAAAAACATGTACCTTTCTATTTTGGAATACAGAATGTCAAGTCCTTTGCGGCCACCCCCCCATTATCAGATTCGTTCGTTTATACTCTGGTGGGGGTTCTCGCCGGTACCTAGATACCTATACACATCGGATATCGCAATGCTAAGACATCGAAATGCTACGCTGTGGGTGCAGATAGCAGACGTGGTACCCAATCATAGGTGATTCCGCCTCGCAGCTGCAAGTAAGACTGGCCTCCTGGGCGGTGTACCTGAGGAGGGTGCGCCTCTATGCACGAGTGCAGTGTAGGAGCGATCGTTGGGGCAGCCTTGCAAAAGGGGTAATCTTTTCATGCTCTTCGCAGGGGAAGAAAAAGTCCGACGTAGATGGGATATCACCAGGCCCTGGTCGGATAGGCTGACTGCCCGCATGGGCTTCACAAATCTCGATGTTCCAAGAAAAGAAAAATGCTGCCCCCTCCCCTGGAGCCCTGACAGCCCCAAGGTCAAAGCAAAGCAAATCTAGGATCTGGCATGTGGCCCTACCAATGGGGAACCGGGTCTGCTTACCCCTGGCCTGGGGATGTGGAGAGCACGGATCCAAAACATGGACTCAACTGCCAAAGATGGTCGCAAATTCTTTCCAGTTCCTGCTCGGAGGTTACACTTGGAACATCCAAAAAGTGAGGCTTGAAGCCAAGTGCCCCATGTCGCCTTGCCTTGCAGTTTCATTCGCGATACAGAGCACGGCTTGCTGACCGGGGCACCGGCAGCGTGTCTTGGATTTCAACACCATGCCTAACTATTCCATGTCTTCTCGGTTCTTTTTCCCCTTCATTTCCTCTGCTGTTGAGTTGCTTTTTGCCAATTATGCCTTATGCAGCCATCTATCTACTCCAGCCTTCCTTATTCGCCCACGAAAGCCGTGGCGTCCATCCTCGCGGTGTTTCTAACAGACAGCCGGACCCTTGCTCCTTGCAAAAACGAACTGTTGTGGAGTCGTGGAACTCTTCCGACCCTCCCTCCACGTCGCTATCCGATAGCATAGTCAATGCAGAGCTGACCGAGTACCAGTTCATCTTGTTTTCGAAATTACCGCTTCTGCATCCCAGGTTCCAGGCCTTCGTTTTGGAACTGGCCATTTTAGGGCTGGAGGGGTGTCTATGCTTGTAGCCTTGTACAGCGAGCATCCTTGTCAGCATGTGATCTTCAACGAGGGGGGCTAGGAACAAGGGGTATGTATTATACATACGCGGTTTCCACGATGGTTAGTATGTCACGGCATGTCATGGCTTCAATCAGCAGGCCACGTACCTGCCAGATAGGTAGCTCGGCATTGCGTTGACTCTCTACATAGTGGCCCGATATGATATACCAGTTCCAATGGTTTAAATAATCCCCTGTTTCTGGTGACGAGTCATTGTGTCACTGAGCAACCGATCCAGTTGGACCAGGGTGAATAAGATTTAACATCGCATAACGGCCCCCGAGATGTGATGACTGCATCTTGTATCCCGTCTGTGCTTATGCCGTCTCGTCCCACTGCCGGGCTCGGATTTGCTTTGCTCTGCATTTGGTGAAGGTGGTGGTGCATCTAGAGGTTGATTAAACCGACGGCTACAACTTGAAGGTAATGCCACTGTGACATCACCGGCTGTGATTGCCCCGCACTAGATTGACACCGATAAACCCACGATAAGAGCTTGAAGCCACCCCCACCTCGGCTTCGATGATCCCTCGATAGCTCTGTTGTCGAGCTCCGGAAGTCAATTGACGAGCTAGGACCTTCTTTTAGAGCTCTTTTCCCGCACGGTGTGTGCCTCTATTGAAACTTTTGCTTCCGTTCGATTGTGACTGCTGCCCGCCCAGGATCTACCCAGCTGCCTTCGCCCATCCACATCACATCTCGTCCGACTTCTTCCATGCAATCCTCTGCCCCGCTTCGAGCGACATCCAAAGTACTAGCCCCGCGTAACTCCGTTTCCCAGGCCTTCAGCCGTCGAACCTCCTCAGCTCCCTTCACCTCGCACCCCATATCTGTCCCCGCGGCTCAGTCACCTGCCTCTCAATTACGGCAATCCCTTCCATCTCAACCCAAGCTCCGCCAGGACTTCTCTGCACAGCCCCTCAACATGTCTCGCATGCCAGCTTCCCACGGCCACAATGAGGCTTGCTGCAACATCCCCCCGGTAGTGTCCAAGGGCTACCAGGCCAAGGGAACATACGAGAAGATTGGTGATTTCAAGACATGTAAGCTGCATCTCCGAGGGCGAGGCGAAGCCAATGACATGTCGTGCCCCCTGCTAACCGCATGCTCCTTGTAACCAGATGTCACCGGCCCAGCTGATGCTACCAAGGCCATTGTCATCGTCTATGATATCTTCGGATACTTTGACCAGACCATCCAGGGCGCGGACATCCTTGCCTATGGCGACAGCAACCAGAAGTACAAGGTCTTCATGCCAGACCTGTTCCACGGCGAGCCCTGCCCCATTGAGATGTCTGTTTGCTAGCCACGCCCAGCTGTGGTATGTAAAACGTGAGGCTGATTATGGCTATAGCTACCCTCCCGACAACGAGGACAAGCAGAAGCAGCTGGGCGCATTCTTCGGAAAGTACCCCCCTCCCAAGGTAGCCGCCCAAATCCCCGGCTACGTCCAGGCCATCAAGGACAAGGACTCGTCTCTCTCCAAGTTCGGCATTCTCGGTGTAAGTGCCCACATCGTACCAGGTGAAAATGTATCGATAAATTAGTAAACTAACACTTTGTCGGAAAACCGATAGTTCTGCTGGGGTGGCAAGGTTGTCGCTCTCACCGTCAAGGCCGCAAACAACCCCTTCGCCATTGCTTCATCCGCCCACCCTGCCATGGTCGACCCCGCCGATGCCGAGGGCATTGACATCCCCTTTGCCCTTCTCGCATCCGAAGAGGAGGAGGCCGATGTTGTTAAGCAGTTCGAGGACGCCCTCAAGGTTCCCAAGCACGTGGAGACCTTTGGTGACCAGATTCACGGATGGATGGCTGCTCGTGCCGACCTGAGCGATGCTCGCGTCAAGGAGGAGTACGAACGCGGCTACAAGGTTCTTCTCAACTTTTACGCTAAGAACTTTTAAGCTGGGATGAGATTTGATCGAGTTTGTATTGTGGGAGTCTGGATGTTTGTCCACCACGATGATGGGACAGTCGACCCAACAGATGACATTACATACTCCAAATGAAAAAAAGTTAATCATAAAAAAGACGTGCCCAGAGCGAATACATGTCCGTCTTTCGGGACTAGCACGTGCGTTGTCTATGTATTCGAAGAAATGACCTTAGTCCCCAGCCCGCTGTTGAAGCTATCCCACATGACGATACCAAAACCTGAGAGACTCTCACATCACCTTTGAAAATCCTCTATATCACCATACTCTTCTACGCAGGAACCTGCCCAGCCTTTGCCTTCTCGCCAAACGCAACAACCTCCTCGATATCCAGCAGCTCGTAGTCTCCAATCTCCAGCGTCTCCCCGTCCTTGTTCCGCCCAACCGACGTCCCAATCATGTACAGCTCGAGGTAGTTCACCAGGTGCATGTCCACATTATCGACCTTCCGCCCGCGGAAGTAAATCTCCAGCCCCCCCTCCTCCTCCTCCTCCGGCGGCGCAAACGACCGCATCTCCAGCACGCCCAGCCACGGCGCCAGCAGCGCCTCCCCCGTCATCTTGACGTACGCCTCCCGCAGGCACCACAGCGTGTAGAAGTACCGCAGCCGCCTGTCCACGTCCGCCGCCGCCAGCCGGCCCAGGTAGCCCACCTCGAGGGGGCAGAACACGTCGGCGTGCATCTCGACGAAGGCGGGCCAGCCCTCGGCGCGGACGTACTGGCGGTCGCGGTCGCGGCGCTCCGAGGGGCAGACGACGTCGACGCCCAGCGTCACCCCGGCGGGGGGGTGCAGGGCCGCGACGACGACGACGAGCCCGGCCTGGTGGGAGACGTTGAAGATGAGGGGCTCGGACCCGTCGGCCGGGTGGAGGAAGACGGGCTTGGTGTCCTTGTTGCGCGTGGCCACGGCCGCGTCCCAGGCGACGCCGGCGTAGCGGCTGATGAGGTAGCGCTTGAGGAGCTGCGAGCCGAGGGCCATCTTGGCGTCCTTGCAGTGGACGTAGCGCAGGGCGTCCTCGCGCTGTGTGGGCGTCAGGAGCTCGAGGGCCCTGGCGGCCTGTTGGGGGTGTTCAGCTACTTGGATGTCTGTTTTCTTGGGAGGGGCGGAGAGAGACTTACATGTTGGCGGAGCTGGCTTGTCTGCGTCGCCTGCGGCCAGAGTTTACGGGTGTCAAGGACCCATTGGATCACGACTGTTTTGTTGTCGCTGGCCATTGTAGAGCTCCTTGCAAGTGTGATGGTGTATGCAGTGAGTGATAGGTTTGATGCTTAAACGAGCCTTTAATCTCCTCACAATGGTCACGCCTTACTGCAGGAAGTGCCCACGTTGGGCTCTGGGTGAGGAAATATGGGCGACCATTATAAGCTACCTACCTAATGTAACACATGCAAGAGACATTGTAAGCATTACTTTGAGACAGGTTGCAGACCAAGGATGCATTGGCCTAATAAAAGAATGCGGGTAACATGCCCCAAGTTTAGGGTAGGAAATGGAAGGCGACAAATCACGAATAGCCATTGTCGTTGTCCTCAGTGTATCATGTCGAATTGATTTAATTTTATTGCGAACTTGAGAGCTTTTCTCTGTAGGTACCTATACCTCTAATAATCTGTGCTGAACTTGGTCATGCTCTACTCCGCAGGTTCCTCCGCAGGCGCTTCCAATGAAATCAGAAGCACTGGGTGGCCTTTCTTCTTGGCCGGCTCATTCTTCTCATTACCTTTCTCGGAACTCTTTTTCTCAGACTGATCTTTGTGCGTGTCGGCTTGGGTGGGATTGGAAATGTCAATCGTGGTGTTGACCACTCCATTCTCAAGCTTTCCAAGCGTTTTGACTGCACGGCCGTCCCCATCCACATCGACAATGACATCTCTCGTGTCAAGAGTTCCATCTTCAGTATATCCCCATATCAACTTGAGCTCTCCCCGCACCAAAGCCGTAAGGTAGATAGCTCCCAAGACACCAGGGACAAGGTACAGCAATGCCGGTTGGCCTTGCCTGAAGATCAACAGCATCGCCAATGTGACGCCCATGCCGAGGCCGTATCCTACAAGACTGGCAGTGAAGTAGGTCTTGTTGAAGCGGGATCCGGCGAGCTCAAGCGGGGCGTTGCTGGGTCTAAAAGACAGCCAAGATTGGGTCCAGAAACGGTCGGCCCATCTGTTTTTGACGTCGATATAGGGCACCTTGATCTCTCGATACTTGGTCTCGCTACGAGTGACGAGCGCACCGGATGCATCCTTCTCAATGAGCTTCAACTCGGTTGGCTCGTACTTGACCTTGCGCTGGTAGTGAAGCCATAGATCAAGACGGAGAGCGAAGGCCATCACAATACCAGGAAGAACGATATCACCCAATCCCAAAATGCTCTTTCTCTCCGCCGCTTCGAAAGTAAGTTTGATAGGAACATCTAGTTTCGTCGCTACAGTCACCATATAAGGCCTGTTTTTTTTTTTTGGTTAGCCTTTGGATACACCTGTGAGAAGTTTCGGGTACGTACGTGTAAAAAACCATGATGATATCGTAGAAAAAGAGACCAATCATGACAAGTGTTCCAGTGCACAAGTTTGTCGGAGAGAGCAGCATGAATGTTCCATAGCAGAGTCCATAACCAAGAATATTGGACAGGAAGGGAGACATGGTTGATGTGTAGGCGATGGCAGTACCGACAGCAGCAACAAATGCCGTCATGTGGGAAAGCTGGACTTTGGTCGTCAAATCTCCAAATCCATGGGCGTAGAACTTGAAAGTCCACTGCTGCACAGCAAGGCTGCGGATATCCCACGCAGCCTTTCTTGCACTATCCATGGGGGCGAGAATGGACAATGGCCATGGTAGAGGGCTCGAATTTGTGTTGGGAGCTTCGATGACGTTTCCAACATCATCACATACCCTTACGGCCCTAGCTTTCTGGTCGGCTTGACGAAGTTTGCCATCCCTCCCGCGCCAGTAGTGAGGGAAGATGAAGGAGCTGACCAGTTGAAAGCCATGGGTATATAGAGTGAGCAAGCTGAGAATCGACATGGTAGACAGGTACCAGCGCAGGATCTTGTTGAGGATTTCCGGGTCTTGGAGGTACTGGATGAGATAGTAGAGACCGACAAGCATGATTCCTGCCATGAGGGGGAACATGATGGCGTCAGAGAGCTCCAGGCCCTGGGAGAAGTGCTCCTCCTTCTCTGCCTTCTGACCATTTCTCCTGGACTTTGGGGGGGCTGCTGAGGGGGGTCGTCGGAGCGCGGCATGAGCCCCAACGTAGATGATTCCCAAGGCGCTGAGGACAAGCTTCAGCTCCAAGGCGAGAAAGCTGAAATCTTGCAGAGTCTCCCAAATTGTTTCGGGTACTAGAGCAGCTTTGACAGTTGCATTCAAACCGTCTAGGCCTCCTTCAAGGGGCATCGAGAGAGAGGGATCGCCCGACATCTTGCTTAAACCGAAGTGTCAAAAAGTTGTGTATTTGGTGCTTCTCTTGTTTATCAGACGAAATTGTTCGTGAAACAAAACATGAACCCAAACGTGTCCTATCCAGGCAGACAAGTGTGAGTAACCCTAGCTCGTTAAACAGCCATGAGCCATGGGTTGAACAAACGAACGAAGGGGAGGAAAAAAGAATAACTCTCCCAGGGTGAGTGAAGACAAACTTGCTTAATGATTCTTCCTTCTTGTGAGGTGTGTGGGAAACATGGCAGGGTAGGCGAATGATGAAATAAGTAGGCAGTCTGGAGGAAAGGCTACCCTGAACAGAGATTAGATTAGTGCCGCGGGGGCGGCTGCTAGGCGATCCACCAATACAAGCTCAGCGCCCCCTGGAACTCTCCTGTAGGGCCTGCAGCGAATGTTGCCCGTGGCGCGAGGTGGGGCATCCAGAACAACTTCAGATCAGAGTAGAACGAAGCTTCCCACCACACAGAGAGTTCCAGATACACGGAACAGTTCCTTTCCACCATGGACAACGATATTGTATTACAGACGTCGGCGGTATGTACCCCCTCTGACTTTTCTTTTCTGAAGGCGCAGATCACATGGCTAACAGCTCCACCACAGGGCTCCATCACCATCGAACTCTACACATCGCATGCCCCCAAGACCTGCAGGAACTTTGCGACCCTCGTCCGCCGCGGCTACTACAATTCCACCATCTTCCATCGCATCATCCCCAACTTCATGGTCCAGGGAGGCGACCCCACCGGCACCGGTCGTGGGGGGACCTCCATCTTTGGCGACAAGTTCGAAGACGAGATCGATCCTGGGTTGAAGCACACAGGCGCCGGTATTCTGAGCATGGCAAACTCCGGCCCCAACACCAATGGGTCCCAATTCTTCATCACGCTTGCTCCCACGCCCTGGCTCGACGGGAAACACACTATCTTCGGGCGGGTTAAGCACGGCATGAGCACGGTGAAGCGCATGGGCCTGGTCAAGACGGGAGCCGAAGATCGTCCACTGGACGAGGTCAAGATCGTCGAGGCCAAGGTCGTCGATGCCGAGGAAGAGGCTTGAGAGCATATGTTCATATCAAGTTCGAGGTTATAAAAGCACGGCAGAGTGCAGCGGCGTTCTGGAGTTATCACTGGGAGTTGCGGTTTGCCTTCATATCAGGAGTGCTAGTGCTCAACATCATGTCATATATTTAGAAAAATCCATAGGCTTCTTTTATTTTCTCCTTTTGCAATGCTGTTACTCTTCTGCATCTCTCTCAAGAAGAATTATATATATAAATGCATTCCGAACCCTGAATCGCATAATGACCAACTTTGAATGAAAGAATGAAAATGACGCCCTGGTCCCCTATACGCCTGATATGCCGGTCCGTTATGCTGTTAGAATGCGGTCGATACCGGCAAAGGCCCATGCGCAGGTCCTTTGCAAGTGAACGATAAGAAAATAGTACAAACCAGCCTTCCACTTCCGAAATGCTCTTCCAACGAAACCAAGAAAAAGAAAATAGGCCAAGAGCAAGATGCGGAAGCAATCCCGAGACTTGCCCCGAGTTCGAGCAATTGAGTGTCCAGCTTCGCTTGGCTCTACATTCATGATCCAGATAGAGCATGCTGAAAACAGAAGCAAAGAGGCTGCATTATACGCTTCAACTATGTTTGTGATGAAATCTTTATCTTGAGACGCTCTATGCGGTCGTCTGTGCAACCGCTGGCGGTGATGAGAGGGTCATTGACGACTCAGAATCCACCTCGGCATCACCGCCATTCTTGAGGGGCGAATTTGGGATAGGCCTGGAAGCCTTGAGTTTCTTCACGGGACTCATACCCAGACCCGTAGACTTCTTGGGTGCCGTCTCTCCTGGTGAGCTTGTTGGGCCTGCCTTGTGCTCTTGACTCAGCTGAGATGGTGGCTTCGAATCCTTCTTGTTCAGGTTCGGCTTGCCAGTTTTGAGGATGACCTTCTTCGGGTTACCGGCCTTGAGTTTCTTCTTCTTGTGCGCATTTTCAGACTCCTCTCCAACGTCCTCACTGGCGTCGCGTTTCCGGGGGCTTGCTGCACGAGATCCCGGCACGGGTGTCGCCTTCTGGGATGAAGGGGGGGTTTGGTCGGTTTGCGAGTTGCCGTTGCTCATCTTCTGGGCTGCAGCTCTGCTGGCGTTGCGGCCACTATTGCCAATACACGAGCCCATGTGGTTGTTCAGACGGGTCACCAAGATACATCGCTTGCACTTGCTGCATGTAGCAGAAGGGAAAGAGAGCACGTTGGGAGGTCTCTGTTCAGGAGTGGCTGGTCCGTCGTCCTTCTTCTCCATGTCCTTCTTCTTCTTGCCCCTGCCGGGTCCTGGCCCGACCCAGCTCTGGCCGTAGATGTCACAGCCAGCCTTCTCAATGAATGGTTGTCTCTTGCAGTAGAGAACGGTCGGGTCGGGCTTCTTGGCTCCCTTGCCGTCGGTCGGGTGTAATAGCCGGGGTAGATGGCACTTGGGACAGAGGATATCTTTGGTTGTCTGGAGAGGGTTGCCTTTGAGCAGAACCTTGCCATCCTCGTAGATTGCAGCGTCGGTCTCGATTCGGACATCGGGTTTGGAGTCGGGAGTCGAGCCCTCGGAGGCGTCAGATGCCAGCTTCTCAATGTGAATAGCTGCCGTATTGGCCTTTGCGGTCTTCTCTTCTCGATGCGTCTTCATTACTAAGTCGGATATGATGTTGTAAAGCACGTCGTCTAGGACGGACTGCGCCTACATCGTTCAGAAAATGCTCAGGTTAGCAGAATGCACTCGCAACATTTCAGCCGAACACAATCAGCTGTGCAAACACGCCCGACTAGGCATCAGGTAGTAGGATCCCCCATCAACAAGCACCGCTAGGAGGAGTAAAGAAGAAAATCATATGTTGGCGGGTTATGCATACCAGTTTGTCCATGCTGCCGATATCATCGCTCGGGCGGATCAGGCCGGCTCTGCCTGTTGATGAGTCCATTTTGTTTTGAGGGGACGAGGGCCCCGAGAGTCGAGGTTGGAGTGGTGAGAAAGGTGACCAAGTCTTGTGTTACCCAGTCGTGTGATGGTGTCGGCCAGTGCCGGGGAGATGGGGGAAGCCTGTCAGTACCGGGAATACAGGTTCAGTTCGGGATTTGTCAACTGTCGTCACTAGCGAATCATTGTACGCTCGAACGGAGGCTAATCGAGAAATGGTCAATTGAATACGGGGGAGAAAGCTAGATAGAAGAAGTCGAGGCAGGAGAAAATTAAAGTGACGGCTAGCTCAGAACTTTGGGCCAGGTAATGCGAGTCAAGGTAAAGCAAAAGCAAGTCAGGTTCAGGTGAGAAGCGACTGAAGGCCCCTAAGAAAAGTGTCGGAATGATGACAATCCAGCGATGGACCCCGGTTGGACGATTTCTCCCTCTCGGAAAAAGGAAAAATGCATTGGCCAAAGTTTAGCACTCATCTGGTGCCTGTTCCCCCCTGATGAGTGCCCCGAACCAGAGCCCCTAGTAGCCCCCCCTGTAGCTCCCGGACTGCAACCACTATCAGCTACCTGTGGGTCGGCCTCACTAGTCCGCTCGCCTCAGCGTTCCATGTGTATTATGTTATTATTAGGTGGTGACCTCCATCAGCCCCCCATATTACTCCAGCTTCACATCATTGGAAGCCCAAAGAGCCACATTGTCTTACAAAAAACCATAACCCCCTCGACATCGATCTGTGTTACCCCGGTCTGAACAACATGTTACGAGTCTAGACACTTTCTTTTTTTGCGTGGCTTGACGATCACCCGCCGTATTCTCCTACAAAATACATTTTGATATAGTACCTTCCCTTACGATGTCTATCCCAACAAACCCAATGAAGCCGGCCCAGAGCTCGATCCGTTCGTTCTTCCAGCCAAAAGCGCCAAAATACGCACCTCCCCCTTCACAAGCTCCCGCACGAGCACCGCCTGCTGCAGAGGATTCCACCGACACCAATGGCTCTCTCCCAGAACCAGCCGCCCCTCCCCCAACAGAGCCTGCCTCCACCATCACCGCCTCTGATCTGCCCCGCGAAGCCAACATCCGCCCCATCACAAGTGCCGATATCAATGCCTTGCGACGGATAAACAGTCTCCTGCTACAGGTCCCCTACAGCGACCTCTTCTACGACCGTGCCGCCGACGAAGGGGGAGAGGGCCGCTTCTCCAGAGCCATCACGTGGACCCACGAAGGCGAACAACCACAGGTCGTAGGCGGGGTCGTGTGCCGCATAGAACCCGTCTCGGCACATACTTCAGATCAATCACTGTACATCCAGTCCCTGGTCCTCCTGTCGCCCTACCGCTCTCTCGGGCTCATCACCGCGGCCATCAACCAGATTATCCAAGCCGCCTTGGCCGAGCCCGAGCTCAACGTGAAGTACGTGTCCGCGCACGTGTGGACGGAGAACGAGGAAGGGCTGCAGTGGTACGACAGCCGCGGCTTCAAGAGGAACGCGAACCCCGTGAAGGGGTACTACATCAAGCTGCGCCCCGACTCGGCCTGGTTTGTCAAGCGTGACTTGGCCGCTATCCCGGCATCAGCTGCTGCCGACGGCGGCCAGCAGTCTGTCGAGGCCAGCGCAACTGCTGCCGTTGTCAACCTTCCACCGATGGGCGGGTCTCCCAGGCCTGAGCCGGCCAGCAGAACTGCGTCCGGGCAATCCTTCCAGACTAGACGGGCCGAGACGGAGTGGAATGACCTCCCCGCGGATATGGCCAATGGGCTGGTCCCGCCCAGGAGAGGCGCCCCAGGAGAGGCATCTGGCCATAGTTCCCGCAGCAGCTCCACCCAGAGGAAGAAAAGAGATAGATCTTACCCTGCCGCAGCATTTGGAAGCTAGAAGAGGCTTAACACGGGCACGGTAGATGCTCCCGGAATGCTAGACTCACGTCTATGTGCCGAGAGGGGGACAATTTGATTTTACGGTATGGAATAGCCAGACACACTAGGGATATGATAGATTACAACAAGGAATAGATAATAGATAAGTCAATAGCAAACATATGTGGGATCTAAGTCGACGCGAGCCGTCATATTTGGTCGATGATATGTGAAGTCGGTGAGACCACAGAAAAGAGTTTATTTGATAAGACTATAGTTACAGGAACAACGCCTAACCCTTGAACCAGGGACTACCCAATTTTTTTTCGACCTGAAGGAGCTGCCTCAACGACGTTGTCTACCCCACCAAAAGGCTGCACTTGCAGCAGCAGCAGCTAGGATACCACCCGTCACCAGGTTTGAGTAAGAAAAGATGGACCCAGCTTTGGGGAGGTTAGCTTGATGGATTAAGGAAAACGTGCATTGAAAGCGCCCCATTTACTAAGCATTGCGAGATGATGACATACCTTCAGCAGGAATCGATTCCAATTCCTTCTTGATCTTCTCGTTTGCAGCGGCCTGGCTGGTCTTGGATGACCTGTCGGCAATGAGGGCAATCAATGCAGCACCAACACCACTTCCATCCTTGGCAATACCAATGCGGATCTTCTTGGCACCTTCGGGGCCGATCTCTTTGATAGACTCCAAGGCCTCGTAGATCATTTCACGGAACTGAGGGTAATGTTCGACAAGACTGCCATCGACACCGATGTCGATGACTTCTTCCTTGGGATCCTGTACCTTGCCGGACTGGAGAGCAATGGCACCGATGGCTACAGCAGATAGTCTGGCAGCTCTGCGTCCCACTGCGTACGAGACAGCCTTGAAGGTCTGTGCATCCTCAGTAGTAGGGACAAAGCCATTCAGTAAGATGCTCAACTCTTGTTTGAGCTTGGATAGGTCCGCGGAGTCGTCTTTGGCGGCAGCCGACATAATGGCACTGTCAAGGCCCCATTGTTCGAGGATGGAACCTCCGGCAGCGGTGACGTCTGGGTTCTTGAAAAGAAGGGTCTTCTCATCCTTGATCAAGTCGACCACGGCGAGTCGAACAATCTCTCCAAGGAACATGCCCGAAACACGCTTCTCAAACATCTGGATCCCGGGGTTGACGCTGTCTCTATCAAGAGTTTGGTCCCAGGGGGTGTTGGGCAAGACGTTGAGCTGATTGTCGAAAGAGCCCCACTCTGCGTTTATAACCATCTCACCCGTAGACGTATCATACTCTCCCACAATCTTTTTCTTGATGTTTGATGTCTTCTCAATGTAAGCACCGTTGGTGCCTGTGCCGAAAATTGCACCGAGGATAGAGCGGTACTTTCCGGTCGAGGTGTATGAACGAGCCATGAGAGTTCCCACTGTGTCGTTGACAAGGGCAGCAACCTTTACTGGAAGACCCAGCTTGTCAATCTCAACCTGGAGGAGGGCACAGACGTCCTTGCCAACAGCATCTGGGATGTCGAAGCCCTTGGTCCATCTCATCAGATTGCCCTTGTTGATGGCGAGCTGCTGAACGGGGAAACTGAAGGTGAAGCCAAGATGGAAAATCTCCTTTTCCTGGAACCCTTCGGGTGCGCTGCCAGTCTTCCGGCGCTGCAGGTGGCACTCAAAATGCTCCGCGTGGTGCTTCTGCAGGAAGGCCTCAACCTGCTTCGCAAGAAAAGAGAATAGCTCTGAGGCGGTCTTGGCAACCATGAGCTCCTTGGGGATGGCCACCTTGTCAAAAGTCAAGTCAAAAGTGGTGTCGCCATGGAGGGTGACTGAGCAAACGCGGAAGTTGGTCCCTCCCAGGTCAACAGCCAAGTATAAACCCTATAGTGAGCAAAAAATAAGCAGGCGACCTACGATTAGACATTGAAATGATTCCAAGGCTGCACTGTACCTTTTCACTGCCATTGGGCACGCCGGTGACATAGGTTGGGATTTGGCTCAAGCTCGTTCCGTCCTTCTCCAATCCCTCGCCTATGTAAGAAGAACGTCATGTGAGCAGGTCATTGCTGAGGTTGAAGACGTGGGATGGCAAGTGAGAGAAAGAAAAATGTAGAATCAGGAAGACCATGGAGAAAAGATGCGAAATGCACATACCCATCTGCTTCAGGAATTCCTGGACATGGCTGTTGATGTCGGCTTCAGAGAAGTCGAACTGGGAGACGACGCGGCTAGCTTCTGGGTGAATCGCCATGCTGTTTAGGTGTCGCGAGTGGTGAGGTACTTTCGGGAAAAGAAGGTGGGCCGAAGCAGGATTACGACATGCAGGCTCTGTCTGGGAGACGGAGAGCTGATCAGGGATGAGTGAGGAGGAGGGGAAGGAAGGAGATGACGACGATATATGGCCAGGGAATCGAAGCTGGAAGAGACGCTGCTTGGCGTGATAAAGGACGAGCTGGGCTAACTTTGATACAAGGTTGTGTCAGCAGCTTTGGCATCGTTTACAAATGTGGGCGCATTGGGGCGTGCTTTCTGGGTGGTAGGGACGGTCTACCGCAAACCATCTGCCAGAGTAAAACCCATTGCGGGGGATGTGGCCAAGCGCCAAGGGCGAGAATTGGGAGGTATCGAGGCAGACCCCCAATTCCCCCGAGGTTTAAGTGTATGGGGGGGTGCCCAGGTAGGAATGGTGGTTTGAGGCAGAAACAAAGTTAGACTTACTGAGATACTGGCCAAGAGCAGGATGAATGAAAACAGACTTTTGAGCCCAGAGCTTCTGTTCCAGGGCCACCGGGGAGGCTTCTTGTCCTTATGAGCCGCCTCGCTCACGGTCCCCTGGCGCTGAAGCCACCGCACCTTTCGGCAGCACCGTCGCTTGGGAGGCGACGGGGAACCAATGCATACGGTGCAATCAAAGGCGGACCGGGTTCTCTGCCCAGCAGGAGGCTTCGGGATCACGCCGTGGGCTATATCAACAGCTGCCCTATTATCCCTGCTCTCCAAACGGGCCGTCTGGTGCTATCAATTGCAAGCCCGTGATGACGCACAGTGCCTGCTGCAGGGGCGGGGGTTTCGCTGGTGTGGTGGTGGTGATGGTGTTCGATAATAGGTTGGTTCGCAATAGAAGAGATGGAATTACACGTGAGAGTAGACTGGAGGCACTTTTAGGTGGTGTCTAGTAACAAGAACTAAGCATTTGCTCATGCTGACGACCTGGTGGGCAATTGACGACCAGGTGCGAGGCTCTTGCATCCTTTGGTAGGTTGCGCTGTATTATCGCATCCCCACACCTGCACGTTCGTGAGGGGGCGCTTTGGGTTGGACTCGGCCTCACTGCAGGTGATGTGGCCTGGAGTCTGGTGTGATCGATCCCCTGACCGCCGGCCCCATGGCCCACCCTTCCGCTGGGGAGATCGCTGTTTCCCACTGTACCACCTGCACTCTAATACAACAGCGCCAGCCAGATTGTCGGAATTGAACTTCTAGAAGGACACCCCCATCTTCTCCCTAGGGCTGGACGGCTGCTTGAAAACCAGAATGAAGAACAAATGACAGCTGGTCCCTGAAACCTCCAATTGCCGTTAATGGCGAATTTGGAGGCTCGAATCCTTGCACCCAAAGTGCTTAAGTTAGGGGGAGGTTGGTAAAAGGCTCTACAGGGACCTAGCTGGCACTGTGAATCGAACATGCTATTGACCACATGCTTGGATTGATTTGGCGACGGCCCTTTATCCCCTCCTAATGTATAGAAGCCCTCAGGGATAGACGGATATTAACTACTAATTCCAAGCTAGGCTGTCCGCAATGCTAGTCGTTGAATGTCAAGCCACTCTCAGAACATGTTACAGTGGATGAGGCTACAATCGTAACAGCCAACATATTGGCAGTCAAAGCACTTGACTCTCTCATCGTATGATCAACAGGGACCAGCCTAGAGACCTTAATAGCGTCAGCCATAACTCGTATATATTCAATTTGGAGACTTTCGTGCCCTCATAAGATCACAGCTTATTAGAGGCGTCCCATGCTTTTGAGCTCCGGTTTCTTGCCATGTCAGGTCTGGCCTGGACCAGTGACGACCCAATGTCTCAGCAACATGTCTCATGTCTATAGTTTGCGCCAAGGTCGAATGAGTAACGGCATCCCACTAATATGACAGCTCGAGAACATGGGTAACTGAGACGCATCAGCTGACCGTATCCCCTGGCACAATTCACTCTCTCTGTCCGACTCTTGAAAGGAATCTTGATGTGCGCCCTACGGCATAATCTCCCGGCCCATCGGGTCGAAGCGTCAGGTAATGAGCGATGAATTTTCTAGGAAGATCTCGCAGATATGCAGCGCGGCAATCTGGCCCCATAGGAATTCCGAACCGCCTTTATAGGCTGTTTATCCAACCAGGGATTCGTGTGAAATATTTCAAGTCGCATCCCCTTACATCTTACCAGTGGTTGAGGATTGATTTAGGTCATCGATACGCCCGATAGACTCGGGTGTAAGGATTGAGGTGGCAACACAATGAAGAATTGAAACACATGTTCAAGGCATTGTCTTTCTGTATGACCTTGACCGCCCCCGTACGTAGTAATTTTCTCTGTCCCGCTTTGCTGTGTCCAATCATGAACAGTTCAGCAGATATATCAATATGTATTGTCGGTGGATGGGCTGAAATAACAATAGGGCAGCTGTGCGCAAAGTACGCAATTGAACTTAAAAGCACGCAACCCCAGCTGGTCTGCAGCAGTGCCTTGACTTTCCCCAGGTTTCTACAGTCCCGACAGTGGGGATGACTGGAGGCTGTAACAATTGGATCATATACAATCGTCATTCGAGAGCACAGAATGATGGATGGGCAACTTGGTGATCTCCCAGGTTTCACCTCAGCCGCCTGCGCCCATAGGAGTTGCGAGATCGGTACACATTGTGCGCTGGCAATCATATTGAGGCAAACATCGCCAAGGTTTAGGTGCAGTGTTTGTGGTGGTTTCCTCTATAACCAGATACCCCAGGTTCTTCACATGCCTGCAGGATTCC